CCAGTTAACATTTTTTGACCGTTTTTGATTTACTAACCTAATTGCATGTTGTCATAATTAAGACAAACTGAAAATTACGAAAAGCAAAGCAGTTCACCGAAATGTTTGCCACAGAGTTTGGAATTTTGCAAGTTGCCTGTTTCCTGATGAAAATTATGATTAATGTCAGAATATATATATTATAGGTTAACGAAGCCAAGTTCATTAATGACGAGTATAATAAAGATGAAATGCCGACCGAGCTTGGCGAGATAGAAGAGGACAACAAGAATGACCGCACGAAAGCTGCAGATATCAAGCGCGCTATCGGTGAACCTAAAAAGGAAAGTTTTGGAGAAGCCAGTATTGAATTAGCCAGGCTACATGTGAGTGAGAGGGGGTTGAATTACTCTTTAATAATTTGTTCCATATTTTAAGGTGTAAAGGAAATGGGAATATAATTTTAGGAAATTTAAAGTGCATGTAAACAGATTTATTAATTGTCAAATATGGATTAGTTTAAACTGTGAAGTTATTTACAACGGCTTACATACAACTATATAATAGAAATGTGAAATTGAATTATATTAATCTTCTAACAGTGCCAACCATGTAGCATAAAATATTAGGGTGTCAACACAATGTGTTTATTAATATTGGTTTAAGTTACTTGAAGAAGCTTCCAGGAAACGCAAGGCTTTAGAAAATTTGAAGAACGAAGTGAACGAAAATTCAGAAGGTATATAATAGTGTCTAATATTGACACTTCTTTATTCATGTAGTGTTTCAATAAAGTTTTACCCTGGCTGTGCGTTCACGTGCTCGCGTGCAGTATGCCAAAACGCAAATATACAGTATGCATGCATGTATATATATACTTGTATAGGAAATCAACCCTCCACCTAGATCAGCTTTATAGACGGTCATTGTGGCAAAAAATCACACCAGGTGTCTTCTGATTGGTCATTGTCATGCAAAGATATACCAATTCTTCTATTCATATTGTTCCGAAACGCTTGCTACTATGAATTGCCACACTTCACGGTCTTACAAAGGCATGCACGCATATGATGACAGGCTTTTTGAATGTATGATGATTCGTCCATAGAGATTATAAATAACACTAGAGGAGGCATTGGTATCAAAAACATCTGTCGAAAAAGGGAGCACGATAATGGGGGGCAAATTCAAGTCCCGGATGGTAAGCCAAGCACTGATTGGCTAGATCAATGCCTCCTTAGCAATGACGTTAGCAACAACTAAGGTTTGTACATAGGCAGCCCAATGGCGAATGGTCTTATTTGAAATAAAAGTGCACTCAAACATGGAAAATAAGAACAAAGCTATCCGTATTTTGATTAAACTGAAACATGTATCATTTATTCATGCTAACTAAAAATGTATACGGGCGAATCGTGTGCCTCACAGTGTTCAGGCAATGTACTGTCAGGCAATGTAGGCATTATATAGTATATTGCCTGAACACTGTGAAGCACACGATTCGCCCGTTGTGTAATACACGGGATGTCAGGATTTTAGTTAGCATGAATGATACATGTTTCAGTTTAATCAAAATACGGATAGCTTTGTTCTAATTTTCAATGTTTTAGTGCACTTTTATTTCAAATAAAACCATTTGCCATTGGGCTGCCTATATGGTTTGTATTAAAAAAATTATATTTGTTTTTTAAGTTGCTTTACCGGTTTTTTAAGGAAAAACAGTGTTTTTTCGAACTGGTTTTACTACCTTAGACATCCTGAAATGATATTTTAGGGAAAAACCATTTAGAAATAAAAAAAACTCGTTAACAACGACATATTTTGGCCTCGGAAATTGTGAATGAGTGAACAATAACGCGCTCCCCAATTTCTCCTCGATGCCCCCGCTAGTGTTATTTATATAATCTCTATGGATTCGTCTGTTTAGATAATTGTCGCAAAATCAAAAAAGTGGGTGAACCAATCGTGCATCAACATTCTGGAAGTACTTATGGAGCATGGATGAGAGATCCCCTGGGGTTGCTGGGTCCTGAAAAAATTTGGTACATCAATGGTTATTATGGAAATAAAGTGTTGGAATTTGAGAGTATGGATCACTTCAAGGCTGGAGAGGTTGCTAAAACCTACATTCTACCATATCACATTGATGGTACGGGTTCTGTTGTCTATGGAAGGTATCTCTATTTTAACAGGTTGGTAAATTCGTCATCGACGTTATTTTTTTGTTTATTTGAAAAAGTATAATTTTTCGTCAGGACATTCGTCGTATAACGGAAAGATTTTAAAATAGTGGTCATTGGCAAACCTATGTTAAAATCTATTTACAGGGCGAACACAAAAAGTATCGTGCAGTATGACCTAGTTAAGGAAATCGTCACCAGAGAGAAAACTCCAAGCGGAAATGTATCGCCACGAAAGTATTATTATAGTTGGGGTGGCTACACAACAATGGACCTATCGGTGGACGAAAGTGGTTTGTGGGTTCTGTATGGCCACTCGAGTTACAGTGGAAAGCTGTGTGCTACACAGCTCGATCCTTTAACTCTCGGAGCGATACATACTTATTGCCCGGTTTCGACTAAAGCCATGAGAAGCATGGGAAATGCATTTGTGGCGTGTGGAATTGTATACAGTATTGATAGTTACAGTGCAGTTACAACAACCATTAACTACGCCTACGACACATCTACCAGAACTGCGACTACACCAGGCATTTCATTTCTCAACAAGTTTACCTACAACAGCATGGTTACATACAATCCACGCGAGAAGGTTCTTTATTCCTGGAACAAAAATCGCCAAATAACCTACCCCTTGGAATTTGAAGATTGAAACAAACTAAAACGGCCTATATCCACAAGATGATTTGATTAACTGGACACGAAAATGGACACAATAAGTTTACAAAACTTTCTAACGTTGCAATATATAGTTGAAAAACAGTAAATCAGTAAAATAATTAGTAGATTTCACAGCATAATTATATATCAGCATATTGTATTTGATAATTACTGTAACATGATTCACGTTCTAAACTAATAGACTATGAGCTGGTAGTAGTTCATATAGCTCGTATAATTCTAAATATATGGGTTTTAAAAAGAGAATGTAGAGTTTACTTACTTGGTTACTTTTTTATGGAAACCGGTTTACCTTTGAGACCTAAATTATAGTACGAGCGTGTCACAATATTTTGCCCATAAATGTAGGAATTGTTCCTCACAAGTTATGCTTGTTTTTCCAAGTAAAATAAATTAGAATAACTTCAAAAATCAAACACGTTGTTACTGTTGCAAATTAGATAATAATTAGTAGGAAAAAATTCACCAAAATCATGTAAAATCTTCGTTGTGTCTTGGACCACTCTATAGAAATGTCTTAAGTGATTAACTTGTCAGTCAACTGTTGGTTAAAAGGTCACAAAACACGCAGACCTTTCTGGCCTGAAATACCGTCTAAAATAACGTAGCATTTAAATACCATTTAAGAGATAACTTCTCATGAACAATAGATAAATCTAAATTCGTTTTTAACTTCCTTTTCACATTTTTTATGGGTACACAATGATCTATCTGACCCCTATTATGTGTGGTGAAGGAATAATTTCAATTCCAGCGTCATACTGAATGATCTGAGGAAAAGCAGAACGGATTCTTCCGATCACTTCATCCGGGAGTGTAAGGCTAGAAAACGTTTCAACATTGGCTAAACTTATCGGTTTCCGTTTGGTTGCAAGCTTGGAGATACGTATAATTTCAGACCACCATTTCTTTGGGTGTTTATCTTTCAACCTATGAATATTTAGTTGATAATACTTCGCTCTACATAATTTTCGTTCCCTGTTAACTAAATTAATCCTGTACTTTTTAAATATTGCCGATTTAATTCCATGAGTAGCAAAGGCCTGTGTTGTCTTTTCTGCAGCAATGTTTCGAGATTAAACAGTATATATAATTTTGACCAGATCGGAACGCCATAACAGGGCGTATCAACCCAATAGCAATATATATGCGCAAGGGCAGATATAAAAGTAGGTACGCTTTGCGTACATGTGAGTAGCCTTTCAATTTTGGAGATAACCAAGATATCCAGCTAACTCTGGGACATCTATTTCGAACAAATTACTTATCAGTTTACAATAAATAACTTAGCTGATAATACCATACGAATTGTTCATAAATTTAAAACGGATCCCAAATATTCACTGACTTAATTTCTCTATTTATAAGTTGGATTTTCCTCCACGCCATTAATTTGGATTTTCCTCCACGCCATACAATTCTACGTCTACAATTCTAGGCATCTAAAGTTGACAAATAAGAAAATGTCTTATCTTCTAACGATTTCTTAGCATTTCGAACACTGTTCACAAATTAAGGCATCCCACAAAATCATTATTGCATTGCAAGTTGCATGGACAATTGCATAGTGTAACACAGTAACAGCACCTTAAGATGGAATGACCTTTTGGCATTTGCAAAAGTCTGTAAAATTGTGGTTTATCGTATTCATAGTATGCCGACATTGCGAGAAATGTACAAGAAAAATACGGCAAAATGCGAGAAATATATATTAACTTTGATATTTTTTCTCTGAATCAGTTGTATGTCTCCCACAACATTCTCAGTGTATAGACAGAGTGTTCAAGCAATAACAAAGAGCCATAACAAGGCGTATTTTGAATAACTAAACCGGTTGCAAATATACGACGACAAATAATGATATCCGCCATATTTATTGGCAATTTGCGAGCTGCATGACAAGTTTAGGTCCGTGTAATATCGTCATTATGCAAGTAATCACAACCGACTGTACAGAGTTTTCTCGTAGCTATGTTACGAACCTACCTATTCCTGGTTAATGTTTTGGTTTCATTCACTTAATTCACTGCATAGACAATTAATTTCTAAAGAAATAAACCATTGTCATAAGTTTCAAATTTGCATTCAATTGTCAAAATTAGATCGCCACGCTACGCTACGCGAAACAAATATGACTTTTAACATAACGTTTAGCATTATTTCCCGTTATGCAATTTGACTTGATATAAGAGATATTACTAAATTAGGCAGCATTTTGAATTCGCAGAGTTACGACATACTCGTGTGCGCCCGCCGCTAAAACAACAACTGCTGGCTGTATCAAATTCCTTGCCATTTGCGCTTTTTTCCTTGGATGTTTTATCACATTCTCAAATTGGTGTAAAAAAGCAAGACATTGCATCTTATACATTAAATTTCTAATAATTGTAGCAATCAATTAGTCTGGATTGCACTAGTCGTGGGAACGACATTATTACCAATTTCCACATGATTTATCTACAATGATAAGGTGCTCAATCTGTCGTCGTCCACGTATAATGATACACCGATTCTTGATCAGTTACTACAGTACAAAGGGGAAACGATGCAGTCAGTGTGTGAAAGTACTGGTTTAGCTGTGGCCTGGTTCACACAAAACGAGTCTAAAAATAAGGAAAAGTTATCTCCTCACCCCAGTCCCAACCCCCTATAAAGTCCCAAAAGGCACTGGGAACGAGGTTGTAACATATAGGCCTTCGTACAACATGGTATCACACCTAGGATTACCTATAATCAGTAAGTCTGCATCTCTCTAGGATTACTCATAATCATATATTCTGGAACACAAATCGCACACATACTCTTCCCCGTTCCCCCCCGGTAGCGTAAGCGCAGATGTTAGCACAGGTATGATTGTAAATTATGAATAATTCATGTTTTCAATATTTTTTTCGAATGTTTTTAGAACATGATTTCAAAAAGGTGTATGTTGGAAATTTTTAGTAAGTTTAGTATCGGCATAAACGGCAATAAAACATTCCGTTAAAACATGCCCGGATTCTACTACCGGGTGTCTCATAAAAAAGTATCGGTGTTTGATTTGTTATACCTTTAAAACTGAATAAGGAGTTTCAATCGAATAGACTTCACTGAATTCAGAAAGGCCTAAATAAAATTTTGATATATGACTTGAATATATTTGAGCAATACTGAATGAAATAATACAGTTTCATTTCGAAGGAGCAATTTTGAAAATGCTTAAAATTACATTAAATCAGCCGATCAAAATAGCATTTAATTAAATTGCTGTTCTTGTCAACACAACGCATGATAAATAATATTAACACATTCGATGGTTTATTCATCTGAAAAAGCATGTCCTTGAACACCTATACAACGTCGTGCTCTATTAACCATGCCAGAAAAAGCGTTTTGTACCATTTGTGCATCTAAACTTTGGCACGCTAAGATAACTGCCTGGCGAAGCTGTCTCAAATTCTTAGGCTGCTGCTCATGCGGGACGTTCCAGATTTGTTGATCCAAGACCATTTCTTCGGGTGGAACGTTGTCCATTTTCTAGCAGAGATTGTCAGACTAGGTCAATGTTTTCCATCGTTCTTCCAGTTCTCGTCCTTCCACTCCGTCCTTTATTGAGGTTAAGACACGTGCCTTCTGTCAAAAATTTGTCGTACGTTCTTTTAATTGCTGCTCTAGTCGGAGCACGATCACCTGGCCAACGTCCTAGCCATCGCCTTCTTACCTCTTCGGCATTATTTACCCTTGCATACTCAATACAAACCCAAACTCTTTGATCTTTCGTTAGCTGAGGCATATTCAACTTGGTATAAAATAACGATATCCTAATTCGCTTGCATGCAAGAGGTCCCATGAGGGAAATCAAAGCAATCGGCGAACTTTGGACGAGAAATGTTGGCATTTTTCATTTCCCACAAGGAACAAAGGTCAAAGTATTTTATGTAAACCATAAAATAATACAAGATTGAAGCTAACTTCTTTAAAATTTTCAGAACTCGCGAAAAAAATAGAAAATGTCTTCAAATAAATTTATTAAGCCGTTTTAATTGATTTTTCGCCAGTTTTAAAACTGAACTTTGGCTTAAAACACTTATATCTCACCCAATATGTGGTGAAAGATCTAGCACTGTATACCAAAATTTAAGTTAGCATTTTCTTAATACTATAAAACTTATTTGAAAGCCATACCTGGTATAGTTTTTACATTATATTAAATCAAACACCGGTACTTTTTTTTGAGACACCCGGTATACTTGTGTCTTCGTACTCTTTCGATGGTAGAACACCAGCTTGAACTTATTCTTACATGCGGTAACTTATTGTATGTAGTAGGCACTAAATTAAGATTAATAAAATCACTACTTCAAACAACCAAAAATGTTTTCATTCTGTGCTAAAGGCTACAATATAAAGGCAAAGGTATCAAGTTTTCTCTCACTTGTGTGGGCTTCAGCAGTGTGTAAAGTGAAAAGCCTTCCAATTTTCATTCAAAAATCTGCTGGAAAGAGAACCATGCTTTATTGGGAGAAAATTTGCCAAACATCAGTATGTCTGTCAAGAAAAAACCCTATTTTTTATTTGTAAAAGAAAATATAAATGATTTGTATGCTCTACCTATTCAACTTTTTATCATTAAGGTAAATAAGCCAGTGTTTATTGTAAAGGTCAATAGCAGCGAACAATTGCCAAAAAAATATAATGCAAAACATAATATAAATTCAGCATATTGAAACCCAATTAAGAAGTGAGTTGAAGCTAGAAGAATGAAAAACCATGACCAGCCGACAATTTAAGAAAGTAAAGTAAAAAGCAAATTCCGAACAAACAAGACATCTTGAGAATCAAAATATAATTCAAACAAGACACAGATTGAGACTGTAAATTTTCGACTTTATTACAAAGTCATCTTCAGATGAAGATGACTTTGTAATAAAGTCGAAAATTTACAGTCTCAATCTGTGTCTTGTTTGAATTATATTTTGATTCTCAAGATGTCTTGTTTGTTCGGAATTTGCTTTTTACTTTACTAGAAGAATGAGTTTGTGACTTTTTCAATTTTGTTATAAATTCATCGATCAGACCAACTGAATTACAATTAGGTGATGTTCTAATATGTCAATTGGTTGACATACATGATTGTACAAGTAAAAACCCAGTCAACGAGATAAGATTTAAATGTAAACATAGAAGCATTTTGAAACCAATACATATGCTCTGGCTTTTAGACCAAAATTAAGACTAGGTAAATGAAATTTAATACAGAGTGTATGTACTGTAAGATTAGTATAATATTCAATCATAAAATGGCACTGCCACTCTGCCTGAATAGTATGGATGATGCACAATTATGAATCAGAAAATTTAACCCAAGGGATGTGCAAATATGCACATTTGAATCAAATATCGTATGTATAATATTATTATACATTATATTAGTAAAAGCAATTTGATTGGCTTCTGCTAGTAGATAACTGAGTTATTTGCAAGTGAGCCTGCGGTGGTTAACAAGCGGTATTCATTTGAATGTATTTATGTATTAATAATTGATGTATTTTTGGATGTTGCTATTAAATAAGGTTTTTCATTCGTTAATACTATGTTTACTATTCTTCAAATGTATAATAAAACAATTATTGAATTCGGTTTTTGTGATATGCAGAGTTATCAAGGTCGAGGTAAGTGTTGCATGTCACAAAAACCTCATCTAATAATTGTTTATATGTTTTATTTCATGGAACATTTTAAAAAAATTATGCCCTGTGATTGGCTGACACTGGGTTGACGTCGGCGTTGCTTGGGCGAATCGCCAAAGTCAGCCAATCACAGGGCATAAATCTTTGACGTAAGGCAGGCAACTATCATCCCGCATGGTTTTGAAAAATATTTGACGAATTTTCAATAAATTCAGCCTTTTTGGTGTGATTTAAGACCAAAAAATTTAAGGATACATGTTTAAAGTGTTTTTGATGTATTTTTTTATTGATATATCATTTCTATACAGTAATATACTTGCCAACCTTGTATATATTTTATACATACACGCCTAAAACGCTCAGGTTGATGCAACTCAGGTTGATATAAACAGGATGGAGCAATGTTGTGCTGCCCACATTGTTCAAAGTTGTTATCAACATTGAACAATATTGTTGAAACTGAATCCGGTGCAACAATATTGTTCAATATTGATAACAACTCTGAACAATGTGGGCAGCACAACATTGCTCCATCCTGTTTATATCAACTTGCATCAACCTGAGCGTTTTCGCGCGTGTAAGGGTCTGTTTACATGGAGCCGAGTTACCCGGGTAACCGAGTTACTCGTCTTGCCGGGACAAAACGGTACTGTGTTTATATGGAACCGGGTAACTCGGCATTTGTTACGGTACATTGTAATTACATGACGTACTTACTATGTAGGGCGCGAAATTTCAAAAAGGTTTTTACAATGGTGGTAAATGAAACGTAAACGCGCATGCGTGTTTGGCGAATATTCTACTCGCCTAGCCGAGTTTCCCGTTGCAAAGTGTTTACATGGTATAACCGAGTAACTCGCCTTGCCGAGAACCCGGCACAGTTTGCCGAGAACTCGGCACGCCGAGTTACTCGGATGCGCCATATAAACAGTCAACCGAGATATCCATACAATATATAGAACAGGCGAGAACTCGGTGCTGCCGAGTAACTCGGTTAGCCGGGTAACTCGGCTCCATGTAAACAGGCCCTAAGAGATCATTGACATTTTTAATTATGAGTGCGTGCGCTACTTCATGTAATGCAAATCATAACGGATCATGTGCCACTCTAATTCCTCTGTCGTACTTCATGTGGTAGTCAATTTAATTTTAAAGACATATCCATGTATTGTCGAGAGTCTACAGATATTTGTAATGTCCCGTGACGTTGCAGTTAACCCCACTCCCCACCCCAATGTGTTATCATGCGGCACTATAGCGACACACACACCCCCCCACCCCCTACGGCGTCACGTATTTTGTGAATGGCCCCTAACTATGGAACAAGGTTGTTTTCTATTGATCAGAGCTCTAATTGGGTAGCAAAGGTAGCAAGCCAATAGCACGTCCGTATTACATGGATTCTATTATTAACTTTGAAATTATTAATTAAAACTTCCGGTTTCTTTTCGTCTTCCGTTGTTTATGTGGTTTATGGTCGCTGAAAAACTTAGTGAAATTACAAAACAAAATGAAGCTAGTTCGAGAAGATAAGTGATTGGTAGTTAATATAATCGTTCTGTGTATGCATGTCACCTTCATATGCGACCTTTCAAGAGGCATTGAAGCATTGTATTTGTCACTATTATTCAAATATTTTGTCACTATTATTGTTCGATAAAATACAAAATGTTAATATATATATAGATATATATATATATATATATATATATATATATATATATATATATATATATATATATATATATATATATAATAACAACTAATAATAAGCAATATCAATACAACTACATGACAGTGAGTACATGTATGTTTAAACAACAACAAAAAGCTATTGGTAGGTTTAACCATACTTCATAGTGATTTGAGTGGGCAAATGATAGGAAATTGCGTATATTTGTTAGGAAACGCGAAGCCAACACATACAGTGAAAAATTATTAAACTCACTCCCAAGGGTGATCCAGGGCACTTTTGGTTAAAAAAGAGCAGCTGAAAATATGTATAGGGACGGTTTGATAGCCAAAGCACCAAGACACAACTAGTGTGGTGATGTATGCTCTACAAAACAATCGGCATGTGTAAGTGGGCATATGTGGTTTTGTCGTCTGCATACTTATAAAGTATTTAAGCCTTGAATATTACTGCTTTCTACCTTCTTGACGAAGGGAGTAATAAAATATGCTAAATACTTTTATTTATATCTTCAAGTAACATCTCTCATAGATCACATGCACACAAGCTGTTTTAAAGAATCTGCCTATAAACCCACCTTATAGACTCATCACTTTACACAAGGTATTTTTGATGTCAGAAGCTATGCTGGCAATCTGGCAATAGTATCAACAAAAAGCTTGGGTGGAGGTCTTGTGATTTGGTTATTTTTTATTTATGACTGATTTACAGTATATTAGAATATGGAAATTTCGTATTAGACATTACTGAATGTTTGTATGCATTAATTATTAACTATACAATATCACATAGTACTTAACAATAAGTTCTGGTTGACAGCTGTGGTTATATATCACTTTGATTGCAAATATATAACATCTATATATATAATCATTTGTGGGATTGATCTCTGCATGTGAACTGGGATTGACAGGGTTCAATGAAGCAAATTGAAGTTCTTAGTCACTAGGGACATGACAACCAAGCAATAAGAATTGATATAAGGCACCAAGTGATATAATTTTGGTGTTTACAAGGCCAGTCATTATTTATGGCAAGAGTGGGGATGAGGAAAAAATATTTTAATTCTAAAAATTTTCCAACCCCACCTTTTTTGTGCTTAGAAAAAAGTTTACACCACTTCTAGGCAATGAAAAATAATTACCTTTTATTTATAACAAGCATTTATAACATTTGTATAAGCTTTGAATGCTGATTGCATGGGGAAGAGCCATGTATGTTGCATTAATGCAAACCATCCATGCATGCAGTCACTTTATAGATAGTGACTTCATAGATTGTACAGTTCATGTTTGGTTTAAAATTTTATGATGAAAATATTTATACTGTTTTTTTTTTCTCATATATATACAATCAAAGTGTAAAAGTGTCTGACTGTCTACATGTGGTATTTGATTGATTTGCATGTAATTTTCACTTACCTGTATTAATATCATCATCAACATTTTCCGCGCTAGTTTTCCCTTGATCATGATGTTGAGATGAGGATGGCACTGCTAAACTTCGCCTTGACTTCGTCTGTTTTCGACGTTTCGAGAAATAAACACGCTCCCCTGTAGTCGGGCATCGCTCGAAGAAAACAGACTTATTGCTTCTCTTTTTCTCTTTCTTTTCCTTCTCATCCTTGTCTAGCAAAGCAGCGAGTTCCGACATCAATTCTGCCGCTGTTTTATCTTTTTTCTTCGCATTGGCAGCTCGTGTTTTTTCCGCCATCTTGCCTGATTTTTTTGACGCGCGGTTATTTGAAATGAGCATTGGGATTGGGAAAGACCATAGGATTATCGATTATGAGTAATCCGAGTAATCCACTGAGAGTAATCCTAGAGAGATGCAGACTTACTGATTGTTCGTGATCCTAGGTGTGATACCATGTTGTTTACGATACTATACATGCGTATTGACGTTTTAACACTAATGCTTCACCCGGCTGCAATCATAATTGTCGCCTCCTTGTACTAAGTAATTAAGTATTAACTACAGTATACAGTATGTACAAAAAACTACAGCTACGCCTTATAAACGTCAAATAGTTTTTGCAAAGCAGCATGTACAAGGTTGAGCATTATTTATTTAAGGCCATATGGTAAAAGTATTAAAGACTGATATAAGAAAATATGTCCGATTTTTTTCACAGCAGGATCTCGTCTAGCTATTTGGTGTGGGCGAATGTTAGTCTGTAATTAACAATGCACTAGCTTAAACGAAAATTTCAACATATACATAATTGATGTCAAAAATGTCTAATGAGCGTGCTAATATACGCATTATTAGATCATAGTTAGATTAGGATTCAGTGTCTGTGAAAACAAAAGTGTGAAAAAATCTAAATCATTCAACAATCCAACGTCTGAGGATAGATTTGAATTTTCGATAAATCAAACATTGTATTTCTTGAAATTGTACAAACATTGTAGTAGTCTTGACTTTCATAAACCTCAAAAATAATTATTCGGTAAAAAAAGCAAAATTATAATCTCAGTAGCGATCCTTATAGAAAACAACCTCGCAGTAGGTAGCTTATATACCCAACCTCGTATATACCAAGGGCAAATTATTGACTATATTAAAGTAGTATATATCGATCATCAATGCAGTAAATATTATATCGTTTCATTTCCTGTCGTTCAATCTATTCAATCACTAGCCTACTGGACGATCAACGGCTAAAACAATAATGCTAAATCGCCATAAAATTATGCAAAATAACTGATAAATCATGTAAAACACCTCTGTATTTTTTTTTCGGGGAATTTTTATGCATATTTTTCAGGAGCGATGTCGATCTCATAACGTTCCATTATTTTCCTGTAAATTTTGGAAGATCATGCAGTGAATGGCAAATGGCTATTCAAGCACCAAGTATATACTTGATACATAATGCGTGTCCGTTCTGTTTTTCATGTTGCCGTTAGCTACATCATATTAATTGAAATTCCTTTCTTTGCTATATAAAATTATATACCTAATAATTTCTGTTTAAATTACCATGTGTGCATATCAATTGTAAACCAAATTTTAAGCGGAAGTTAAGCGTTCCGACTTTATTTCCGCATATGCGGAATCATAAAAAGTATGTTCGCAGGTTCGATGCAACAGAATACAGAATCCATCCTGAAGAGAGCATACTAATCTGTTGGTAAGTTGAATCTATATTTTATATTTAATTATATATATGATGGTGCAATGTTTTACACTTGCATATACACATTTTAACGTTAAGTCCGACCATTATATGCCCATATATGCGTGTAAACGATCATATCCATCTATACCTTATATACATCCACTCAGACCACTCTAATATTTTATTGCTAATTCTACGCGAACCTGCGTCATAACTTCATACTTTCACCTCTACTTCAGTCAAATAAATGCAATAAATGCAGCCCGACAGAATTCAGTTTTTATATTTTTTACTGATATATGAATTGAAATTAATTTAGCAATTTTCGGAATTTTTTTAAATGAGTGAAATCTTGTCGAAACGCAAACGAAAGAAGTTCCCTTAAAATTTGATTCGTAATCCTAACTTTTGATGTTAAACTGACCTATAACCATTACCTAACTGTACTAAAGGAATAGATCTAGACAAGGATTATATTCGTGAATTCTGGGCATGAAATTATTACTGAAATATTTTACTGTGGTGAGTGATAATTGATGTGCAACTCACAAAAACGTTTTAACATTCTGCTAAGAGAGCCTTCTCCTCACATGCATGACGTAATTCATGATAAATTTACGCGACTGCGCGCTTAGCTTACTCATTCGTATGCTCGGAGACCCTTTACTGGGTTCCAAGTACAATCTTTTTTAATCACGTTTGATAGGAAAAAGTGCACTGAATAATTGACGTCTGTTGTGTATAATGTATATGAAAATCTTGGTACTCGTTTTGGCGCAAGCATTTCTGTTAAAAGTAAGTATGCCGGTTCTCTCTCCAGCTAAGCGCTTTAATTGGGGGGTGCATGCATGCCATGATGATATACATATATGTCTTGTTTCTTACTGATTTATTTTGAAAACTATTGGTCCTGCGGTATGTAAACATATTTTGAAAACATAATATATAAATATATGTATGAATTATGCACAACTATACCCTCCCTGCTACTTATGAGGTCTAGCTAAGGCACAGCTTTTGGAAAGGAATAGTACAATAATCCAAAAAGTTTCTCGACGAAAATGACCCTTGTTTTTAGTCGTATATTCATTTATTTCATGCAGTTATCAGATCATAATTCCATACCCTTAATTCCTCTGCAGGAAACATTTTCTGACCGTTTTTTATTTACTAGCTTAAATTGCATGTTATCATAAATAATTCCGACAAACTGAAAATTACGAAAGGCAAGGGCACTTCAGCGAAATGTTTGCCACAGAGTTTGGAATTTTGCAAGTTGCCTGTGCCAAGATGAATAATGTCAGAATATATACATATATTATAGAGTAACGAAGCCAAGTTCATTAATGGCGAGTACAATAAAGATGAAATGCCGATCGAGCTTGGCGAGATAGAAGAGGACAACGATGACAGCACGAAAGCTGCAGATATTAAGCGCGCTATCGGTAAAACTAAAAAGGAAAGTTTTGGAGAAGCCAGTATGGAATTAGCCACGCTACGTGTGAGTAGGAGAGGCTTGAATTACTCTTTAATAATAAATTATTACATATTTTAAGCTGTAAAGGAAATAGGAATATAATTTTAGGAAATTCAAAGTGTAAAACAGATTTTTTAATTGCCAAATATGGATTAGAAGTTCTGAAGTTATATACAACGGCTTATCTACAACTACATAATAGAAATGAGAAATTGAATTATATTAATCTTCTAACAGTGCCAACCATGTAGCATAATATATTAGGGTGTCAAAACAATGTGTTTATTAATATTGGTTTAAGTTACTTGAGGAAGCTGCCAAGAAACGCAAGGCTTTAGAGAATTTGAAAAACGAAGTGAACGAAAATTCAAAAGGTATATAATAGTGTCTAATATTGACGACGCTTTTTTATTCATGAGTAGTGTTTCAATAAAGTTTCGCCTTCGCTGTGCGAATATGTGCTCGCGTGCCGTATGCCAAAACTCAACTACTGCATGTATACGGTATATGCATTTGTACATAGGAAATCAAACCTCCGCCTAGATCAGCTTTATATAGACGGTCATTGCAGCAAAAAATCACACCAGGTGTCTTCTAATTGGTCATTGTCATGCAGAGATATACCAATTCTTCTATTCATATTGTTGCATGCGAAACGCTTGCTATAAATTGCCAAGCAGCTTCACGGTTTTTACAAAGGCATGCATGATGACAGGCTTTTTGAATGTATGATGATTCGCCTGCTTAGATAAGTGTCGCAAAATCAAAAAAGTGGGTGAACCAATCGTGCATCATCATTCTGGAAGTACGTACGGAACATGGATGAGAGATCCCTTGGGGTTGCTGGGTCCTGAAAAAATTTGGTACATCAATGGTCATCATGGAAATAAAGTGTTGGAATTTGAGAGTATGGATTACTTCAAGGCTGGAGAGGTTGCTAAAACCTACATTCTACCATATAACATTGATGGTACGGGTTCTGTTGTCTATGGAAGGTATCTCTATTTTAACAGGTTGGTGAATTCGTCATCTACGTTATTTCTTTGTTTAGTTTGAAAAAGTATAATTTTTCGATTCGTCAGGAGATTCGTCGTATAACGGAGAGATTTTCAAATAGTGGTTATTGGCAAACCTAGCACTGTTAAAATCTATTTACAGGGCGAACACAAAAAATATCGTGCAGTATGACCTAGTTAAGGAAACCGTCACCAGAGAGAAAACTCCAAGCGGAAATGTATCGCCACGAAAGTATTATTATCATTGGGGTGGTTACAACACAATGGACCTATCAGTGGACGAAAGTGGTTTGTGGGTTCTGTATGGCCACTCGAGTTACGGTGGAAAGCTGTGTGCTACACAGCTTGATCCTTTAACTCTCGGAGCGATACATACTTACTGTCCGGTTTCGACTAAAGCCATGAAAAGCATGGGAAATGCATTTGTGGCGTGTGGAATTGTATACAGTATTGATAGTTTCAGTGCAGTTACAACAACCGTTAACTACGCCTACGACACATCTACCAGAACTGCGACTACACCAGGCATTTCATTTCTCAACAAGTTTACCTACAACAGCATGGTTACATACAATCCACGCGAGAAGGTTCTTTATTCCTGGAACAGAAATCGCCAAATAACCTACCCCTTGGAATTTGAAGATTGAAACAAACTAAAACGGCCTATATCCACAAGATGATTTGATTAACTGGACACGAAAATGGACACAATAAGTTTACAAAACTTTCTAACGTTGCAGTATATAGTTGAAAAACAGTAAATCAATAAAATAATTAGTAGATTTCACAGCATAATTATATCAGCATATTGTATTTGATAATTACTGTATTAACATGATTAAGGTTCTTGACTAATAGACTATAAGTTGGTAGTAGTTCATAAAGCTCCTGTAATTCTATATAATTATATATATATATATTATATATATATATATATATATAATTATATATATGGGTTTTTAAAAGAGCGGTAGAGTTTACTTATACTTAGTTACTTTTTTATGGAAACCGGTTTACCTTTGAGACCCAAATTGTAGTACGGGCATATCACAATATTGTGCCCATAAATGTAGGAATTGTTCCTTTCAAGTTATGCTTGTTTTTCCGAGTAAAATAAATTAGAATAACTTCAAAAATCAAACACGTTGTTACAGTTGCAAATTAGATAATAATTAGTAGAAAAAAATTCACCAAAAATCAAAGACAGGAACTGTAATGAACGATGAATCAGAACTGGGACGCTCAGTAAGGAATGTCATAGAGCTTTAGGTTTTAATTCGTTTTTGCGTTCACGGCAATCGTTTTTGTGAACGGCAAAAACGATTCAGAAAAGACGATATACTGCACGGGCACAGACAGAAAAAAGCACTGATTTATCCGTTTTTAAATTCATTTAGATACATGTGGGCGGGACCGTAAATGGAAGATTTTAACGTTAACTCACTCGGGTCTTTTAACTTCAATTTTTTAACGAGGTTTTTGAGCAATTTAATCATTGGAAATGTCTGTTACACGTTTTATATCATCGTTCATACCGTGTTTACTGTTTAGTTGACATCTCAGAGCTTTCACCTAGTGCAACGCATTAATTTAATTAAGAGGCTAGAGTGGACTGACGATCTTTTTCAGCTTGTTTGGGGTGACTAATGTTTCAGCTTAGGGTTGGGTGACTGAGTGGGTGGCAAGTAGCATATAAACGCCGATTAATGTTCCAAAGAAGCTTTCTTGGTCTATTTGGTCCCATCTGTCTCACAAAATTAACTCTATTATTAGAGCTACCAGAGTTGTATTTACTTAGAAGTTAATTTGAGTTCACTGTCTCATGGATACGGCCAGTTTGAGGGCTATGGCGTGACTTACGTGTAGACACAGTATAAAGACATGGTGTAGATATCGCGGGACCTACACGAATTTGAAGTCATTGAAGAACGACGTAACTTACGTAAGTAAAGTCGTTTGTGCTGTGAGCAAATACATGTTTGGCTGTCTTTTTCGTATTTCTGTTATTATGCGAGGAACCTGAATGATCTACAGATTTTGCTGTTCATTGCGTGTATATATTTACTTGAACTGGGGCCGGTTGTTCGAAAGGCGTTTAGCTTAAACGGTGGATAAGTTCAAAATGGAAAGCAAAACTATATATTTATAGAACAACTGAGCTGAAATATTTCGATGTAAATAGCTTAATTGTTCAATGGAAGTACATATTTAATGCATAAGATGCAGATTTAGTCATTCACAAGATGCATGAGAGTAATTTTAAACTTTGGTTTATCCACCGTTTAAGCTGAACGCCTTTCGAACAACCGGCCCCACAGGCACAGAATACCTAACAGAAGTGGAACTCTATACTATTTTTTCGTAAGTGTGATTCGTCATGATTCGTGACTTACCAAGTGCATTTTTTTGAGGTAGTCACCCCCCTGCCAATGTCTAAAATTACCCCATTTTTAGTATTGGCAGGGGGGTGACTACCTAAAAAAAATGCACTTGCTAAGTGACGAATCATGACGAATCACACTTACGAAAAAAGTACAGGAGTTCCACTTCTGTTAGGTATTCTGTGGCTATGGCGTGACTTACGTGTAGATATCGCGGGACCTACACGAATTTGAAGTCATTGAAGAACGACGTAACTTACGTCAGTAAAGTCGTTTGTGCTGTGAGCAAATATATGTTTGGCTGTCTTTTTCGTATTTCTGTTATTATGCGAGGGACCTGAATGATCTACAGATTTTGCTGTTCATTGCGTGTATATATTTACTTGAACTGGGGAATGAGTTGTTTTTAATTGTTGATAAATTTACATAATTTGTCACAACAAACAGTCAGAGATCACGAAGGTCGGCGGATTATATATTTATATGCATGCTATAACAAGCCGGAAAAGTTGAATTCCGACGGATTAAAGACCACGAATTTGGCTATTTTGGTCTTTTTAGAGCATTTACAAGACAAGGAAAGTTTGTATTACACGCACAACGAAATAATTTTATCGAGTATTCGTTGTTTGTTCATACTGTCGTTTTAAAAAACTGGATTTAATTTTATATGTATATATTATGTATTAGCACCGATCGATAATATTGGACCCGCTGGTTGCTATGTTGTTATAGAAGGAATATCTAAGAAGAAAGCTTGTGGGAATTTTTTACGAGATCAACGTTTTGGGAGATATTTTATGAAATTTGTTGGGAAAGAGATTAATATATCCAATATGATCCAAGCCAAGGTCATGTAGTAACACATTCCATTGCATTTATATAAATTATTAAAAATAAATTTGTATGAAATGGATGGAATGCCAGACAAAGGTATTGGCCATGAATCTCCAGTTGAAAATGGATTTGTGTTAAATCGATGCTCAAGCGAACCTGAGTTGGGTATTGTGGTAAAGTCATGTGCACATATACCAACACCAGTGGCCGTGAAGGTGGATTCGAAGACTTCCTTGTCGTCAGCTTCTTCAGGAGAGTTTCGGCAAAGAGCCTCCACCCATGGAGGGGCAACTGCTTCAATGAAGAAGATTGCAGTGCTAAGGAAACAAAGATTAGCGAAAAGGTTTGATGTTTATACAGTGATGAAATTTAATTTACATACTGCTTTCTAACCAGGTATAATTATCTGCATCAAAGGGTACATAGCAGAACTTGTTATGTTGCCATTCATGGCTTCAGTTATCTCTTCCAATATTTGGCCATTATATGGATACAGCTATTTGTATGTTAGGCATTTGAGCTAACAAAGAAGTGGCTTAAAAATGGTGATCAACAAAATTTTGCAGTGCATATTTTGTCATTTTTAACAATATTTTCTAATACCAAACAATTCACTTGATAACTAGAAAAGTCTGGAATCATCAGTTATATATGTTCCCTAGTTCGATCACCATAAAGTACAGCAGTTGCAGCAGATTGGAGAGCTGCATTCTTTGTTGTTTAGCTTAATTTAAATATATCACTTCCTTTAGTAAGCTTATATACTTGTAAGATTTATTACCAAGTATTTTATTTAGCTTCTTGAAGGAACAAAATTTGCAGTTCAATACGTTTTAGCCATTTTGTTTTAGTTCATCAACGTACAGTACAGAAAGTCATGATTTGGACTATTTAAGCAGGAGATACAGTCAGGACTTAATGAAAGCTCAAGCTTTTGATAGGTTACAGGAACAATTGAATCGAGCCCAAGAGGTAAGAGTATAAAGGTGGCATCTGATAAACATATACATGTGTAAAGGTGGGGGACTATTGGTTAATACAACTATTAACATACATACTGTACCTATACATACTGGGTAGAATAGATTTACTAAAGATTTACTTATATGACTATATATATTTCATTAATGAAAATATCCCACATTTCAGATGGATGAACCATGTGTTTTCTCACTATCACATTCATTTTCGTCAGAGTTGAGTTTTAAAACAATTGCTACACCTAAGCTTGCCATTTACATGTAGCTACTTATTTGATACATCTATGCATGTTTTTAATAGAAATGGGGCTTACTAAACTCATATTTCCATTGAAATTTGCATATTCCTATTGTGATTATGATTATGTCTGCAACATTTGTTTCTAATTTTTGATAACTTGAATCTGATACCAATATCAGGACCTTTTACCAAGATGTACACTCACAGTCACACCCATCTTGTTTAGACAGATTTTCAACATTTCATTTGAATTCATTAATAGGTTGACCAACGTTAATCAAGCTGTTCATCAATTTGAATTTTTTTTGCAAATGTAGGAGTTGAAACTGAAGGACGAGGAAGTGTTAAAACTGTCGAGTTTACGCAATGAGCTTGAATCCGAATTGGAAGAATTGACTGCAAGTTTGTTTCAGGTAAATTAGGATACAGTCATACAGAGATCTAAATTAATCATTTGTGATCGTCAGACAAAGCATCTTATGCCCGCTAGACTTCCGACAATAGACATCAATAGATGTCATAATTACTACGATTCTAATCATTGTATAAGGGACCTTTAGTAATTATCTCTATATATGCTTTAGACTGACAAAAACCACAGGGTGTACAAACAGAAAAATAAATGGCAATATTGTGTTGTGGCTGTATAATGTTTCCTTCAGTTCCTTGAGTTCACTAGAGTGTCCAAGATTTCTCCGAGGAAAGACTTAATAATAATAATAATTCTTTCTTGTAGCAATAAACTTTATTGCCGGAACCGGTTACAAATTTAAATGCCCACGTTATAACCACTGCTAAACACAATATCACAACCCTCAATAATTTTTATAGTGGCAACCATGTTCAAATTCCTCGCGAAATCATTCAATACTAAATATTTCGCTATTCAATATTGAAATATCAGTAATGCCACAATGCGAAGATCCCACGTGTGACGTCACGCCAATGGCGAACACATTAACATCCCAGGGGATATAACGATTTTCTATTTCTTCCTGAATGGGCTGAATCCTTAATTTCAAAAGCTTCCAAAGTATTTATTCATTCAGGAGGCGCACGCCATGGTTCTTGAAGCGAACATCAAGCAAAGTAATGCTGAAAAAAAGTTTAATGAAACGAATAGCAAGGTAAAGCCTGGTTAATGTCATACGGCACCGACATTCGGAGATGTCTTTTTGTTGGCTGCTAGCGAAGTGATTATCAGTGATTATCGACAATATAGCCATCGCAGCGTCGCCGACTGGTGGTGAGATGAGAACCAGGCCAATTTGAAGGTCTGTCAGCGATTGAACGCTTTTCATGAATCTATAGGTACACACAAGCGGGTAACTATTCGGTAAAACGCTTGCGCGCATTGATTATTATTAGGGTGATGCCTGTGTCTTGTGTTGTAAATTTATCAATTTAATATAACAGGGAAACCAGTCTAGTGACCAGTTATAGTGACCGAAACATTCCGGAGGCTTACGGTGCATGCTCTTTTAGGTTGATATGTTGGAGGCAGAGGTTGAAGCTTTAAAGACTTTAGTTATAACATCCACGCCAAGCAAACCAGGATTTCGACGCCGGAGCACCGAGCAGCTCAACAGTTGTGATTCGTGCGGCTCTGTCCACTGTATGAATATGAATAATAATTTTGACGTGAAAAGTGAAGGCGGCAATGTAGCAAATCAGGAAAAAGAGGTATAGTATCCAGTTGTAAAACATCCGTTTTGGATCAGTGGATGAAGTATCGGGAAAAAAAGGAGGGAGAGGAAAAGAAAGACGGGAGAAAAAAAGAAAGGAAGGCAGGAAGTCATGGAAGGGGGTAGAAACAGAAAGTGTGTGCATATGTGTTAGAAAGTAGGCAGTGTACCAGAGTATATACCTGAATGATTATGATATAAAACATGCAGAGCATGCATTAATACAGTTGCACTTTAGCACTGGCAGAAAGAAAAGGTCAGCAAGTATCGAACGAGTAATTCTAACATTCTTATAGATGTCTTATGTTAGCTGTCGAATACTCGCAGCAAGTTTTTGGATTTTTCCATTTCTGTTAAGGCCCTGTTAAACGGTGCAATTTTTCTTGCAACTTGCAATGCAATTCTTCTTTTGAGAGATGTAAATTTGGCAACTACCGCACTTTTGTCTTTATTACGCTCCATGGCGCCTCTTGCACTTACATTTTTAAGACTCTTCACTAATTTACATCTTTTTAAAGAAGAATTGCATTGCAAGTTGCAAGGAAAATTGCACCGTATAGCATGGCCTTTGGTGTCAAAAATCCTGTTCCCATAAACACAATTTTTTTTGTTATTCCAGGATTGTGAATAGTATTTTTTTAAATATGGGGTTCTTGTTTTTAGGTGGATGTTATTGTTTTTAAAGAGTTTTTGGCGTGGATGGAGGACAGAAAATTTGATCGGACTCAGCCATTTTTGTCAAGGATGTATAACGAAGATGTGGGTCCATGTTTAGACTTCACAAATAAACAGGTACACAGATTGTGAAACGTTGGTATGCGGCGTAACAACTAATGATACGTTTGGCACATTTAATTAACAATCTGAACATATTTCGTTAGTTGTCAACGACGTTTCAGGACGCCATTGAAAGCAACAGCCTTGTGTTGGAGCTTCTGTCAACGAAGGGAATTAGAAGGTGAGAATACAAAATAGAGGAAAATAAGTCTTCAAAAGGATGCGCTTGCAGTTAATGTATGTACTTGCGCATGATTACGAAGTACGTCCATGATTGATCTTTTGCATTTGTTTAGGAAATGTGCATTAACCGGTGCAATGAGGATATGTCGTTACAGAGTTGCAGCGTCGGACACGTCAGAGTGGCATTATATCTCTCAAAGTGCACGACATAGGGTAGGCTGTATGCTTCAGATATGTGCTTACTTAATTGGGGGCCGCTCACAAAATACGTTACGTTGTGTGACGATTACCCGTATATGCTCTTGAGAATAACGTGACCAACGTTACCAATATATCCTCTTGAGAATAACGTGACACTGAAACACATACGCGGATACGCCCTCTTAACAATGATCTATATATAGTAGATTTCCACATACACCCCCCACACACAATACAAGATGGTTCATATTATCTGTCTCTTTGATATCAAACCCCCGCTTTTCCAACGACAAACATTCTTTGTTGTAGTTACATTTAAGTGGGCTTTGATCGAATTCAAGTGACACCTCCTCACTTCCTGTGACTCTCCCTAAAACACTCTCAGAGCATCACGTATTTTGTAAAATATCAGAACTACATGCAACCAAGCAAGGTTTCTTCATTGTAAAGTGTTGTTCACTTGCTCGTATACACATATACATATACTGAAGTTTTCCTTGCAAATTTGTTTTTGATGAAATCAATTTGTCGGATTGCTTGTACTCTCCTTGTTTTTTTATTGATCATTAAAAAGGGTGTTTGCTAAGATATTTATATTTACCTATGTAGTTGTTTAGTTAGAACATACACTATAAAGGCTAAAGTACATATTTTTATTCTCGTTATAGCTTGTCGCAGTTTGTGATTTTTTCACCTATATTCGATACCTTTATCTCGGATTGGTTAAAAAAGACGGTAGGTCGCTGTATATCAATATTATAACACAGAGCAATACGCGTTACCTATGTTTGTGACTCCCATCTACACGATCCGCGGTATAAAAATTAAAATGTTAAAAAAGTTGGCTTCAGACGATTGCATGTTTAGGCTTCGAAATTTCATCCTGAATTTTTCACTTTATATTTTCACTGTTATCTCAAAAAGATCGTTTTGCTTTACGGTTTTGAAATATCTAAAAAAATTCAAGAATGAGCTGTATAAACATATAAAACTTCCAAGGCACGTTTCCCCTCTGTGGGGCAAAGCTGTTGAAATAGAAAATTGCTTTTAAACGTGAATAATCGCGTACTGTAACTCGCACGTAATCTGGGCTTTTCGCATGCGCAGATAAGTGAATGAACATGCATGCATGCAGCCAATTAAGAGGACAAAATGTATCTTTTTTGTATCTTTATGTAGTGACTGACATTTACTGGGAAATTATGGAACTCCGTAAACAAATGGCTTTCGCTAAATGTGGTCTGTCTCATTCCCAATGAAATATCTGGAGATTATTGTCGTTACTATGGGGTAAAATAGAAATGCTGACATGCACTATTTGTCCATTAGAATAATTACAAAGGTGGTTGTTGAACATTGTGGGCCTTTGTGGCTTTGACCATGCACTGCTTGGCCCAGTGGCCACGGACATAACGCGATAATCACCCCAAAACTGGCCGAAATGAGAAATTGAGAAATAATTAATTTTATGCTGAACAAAAATTAACCAAGAAGCAAAAAAATTGCCCAAAAATTATTTCTAAGTATAACGGTGCAGAACCTCACGTTCTTAATTCGCATAAAACATCGTTTTGTTTGAATTGCTGAGATATTTGTTTACGTTTATACAAAGTGAATTCTCATGCACCTTTGTAATTATACGACACGTTTTCGTTTCGGTTTTTCAGCGATATTCGCCTTGGCTTCGGCAAATAATAGAAACCTATTTTCGTCTTGGGTACCAGTTGAACTTATATAGCTATATATTTGCATGATAGCAATGAAATATAGTCCATTAAAAACCTGCAATATTTCATACAAAATTTCCGACAGTATAACAAAAATTGTGAATTAGATGCACGGTTTTCAAATTTTAACCATCACCAGATAATCGTAGCAATACACGGATGCAATACACGGTTGCTGTGCCACGCTATGACTATCACATTTTCGTGCCGTACTTCAGAATTTGTCTTGAATACAAAAGATCCAACATTACTAATATGGTACAGTCAGTAGGCGGCCTTTTTATAGGCATGTGTGGAAATGTAAAAAAAGAACAGAAAACAGTCTTATAACAGTGATATTCATTGTGGTGCACGTATTCTATTATATATGGAAACCGGTAACTCCGGACATGGCAAATTTTTGACCAGTGAGAAAGCTATTTATAAAAAATTCCTCTTTGCAACTAATTTAGGCTCCTAATTTGCTCTTTTTGAGACGAGAATTATTTTTCAGTATTTAAATAGTAATTATACTTTAAACTAGCGTTTCTCGCTTTCTATACATTGACGTATAATCTAATTTATATACTAAATCTAATTCAATTATGATTGTCCTCTGAACACCCAGCCACAATTACAGTATCGCCTTTCATTCGCTGAAAACACTGCATTCAGCTGCATGCATGTTTACACATTTCGTAGGTTTTGCATCCGTTATATAAGTCGATGTTTTCTTAGACTTTACTTTTGTGGTTGGGACAAAGCGATAAATCGCAATCAATTAATGATTTGTAAATAAATATAATTTATATAGAATACCAAACAAATTAAATATAGTAATAAATTTGACGAAGCCATTCTTAAAATTTACACATGGTGACAACTATCCAAATTATTTCAGTTGCTATATATAAGCAGTATCATACAGCAAACGGTGATTCACCTGTAATTATCTGGGAGGAAATATGCTGGTTCAATGTCAATCAATCTTTTTTAAGTTGTTTGAAACATTGTTCTGGTTCTTGTTATCTGCTGAATCTACATCAGGTCTTATGCATATACCTAATATACCTGCATGAATTGCACACTTTATTCATTGAATAGTAAAATTTTGAAAGTAATCGTTGCCCATCGACCTCATGTTAGCTATTTGAGCCAGGTTGTTCAAAGGCGTTTAGTTTAAGCAGCGGACAAGTTTAAAATAGAAAGCAAAATTGCGCTGTTAGGTTGGATCATAGACAATCCAGAAGACAGTGTCTTTTGGATTGTCTATGGTTGGATGTATATCCACTCATTCCTCTATATGATGTGCCGTGAACCAGGTTAATTCCTTTCGTTACTCATCATCATGGGGCCCACGTTAGAAAAATATGAACCTACTGCATGCTAGTGTCATTTAATGACATCGCATATGACCTGTTTGGTCCTGGAAGTGAAAAAAAACCCATACGTTTGGCATATGAGAAGCACGATTTTTGAAATAGGAGATATTTGCATGTTAGTCTAGATTGGGGTGTGTGCCCAGATTTTAACTGTCATCACCGTTTGCTGTTCGGTAGTGTTTATGCTGAAACTCTTAGGCCCATCAATAAATTGGCAATGGCAATAATTTATACATAATTATATAATCATTTTATTCTTATGCAAAGCTTTTTAGTATTACTAAATTAAAAGCCAAGAAAAACTGCTAACATATATAGAAGACGCTTAATCACATATTTGAATGAGACTTCTTAATATTTTATATGATTTGCATACAGCATATCTAATTTTTATTGATTTAATATTTAACTGCATATCGAAGAATTTGTAAATCATAGATTGGCTTACATCATTCATAGGTGTGAATTGTTGTAATAAACAAAACCATGTTTTACTATTTGAAATGTGACTTACATCATTGTTTTACTACTCTTGACATAACCCGTGTTTGCTATATTAGTTCAAGCTATGACATACCGCTTCGAGAAACAACTGTGGTGATTTCGATAAGTCGGGGGGTCGGGGTCTGTTTTCACATTCACTAAATAGTAGGAATTTTTAGGTTGTGTCCGAATTTTGGAAACGAGTGAGCATAAAAATATTAGTCAAAAACGTTACTGCATGGTGCGCATAAGGATCTGTTTATTTGGCGGTGGGGGGACTCGTATCCAGCTGTCCGAATATCAACTAACGACTAAACCCAGTAGCTTTCTTTGCGTTTTGTAACTAATAACCTTTGCATGCTTTTAAAAGTACGTGTAAATGAAGTCCACAAGCTAGACAAAGTATCGGCATACAGGTAACTTCCATGTAAGTATCACGCAGAATACGCTCAATTTTCTATTCATCATCATCATCAAGGCCTATTGCGCCAGTAAGGCGCGCAGGGCCTGACAGGTTTCTGTAATCAGCAATTTTTTACGGGATCAGGTGATTAGCCTGACGCCCAACCCCCAACCTGGAGGACCAGGGGCTGTCCTTTGTCTGGTCTCTATCCCTCGACCAATTCGGAACGGTTGGACCCACCAGGGACTAAGTCCCCACCGGCATAGCCTTGGGGTCACTGAGACACAAGCTTCACCACCGCGGCAAGGTGACAAGCCCAGGGAAATTTTCTATTGCCAGTGCATAAAGTTTTTTTAACAGAGACATTTGGAAAGAGCTTTATTTAAAACTTATAAAGTCGCATTATAACAACATAATATGCATGGCGTAAACATAAACAATATTGTCGATTGCTGTATTTTAATTTTAATTGTTTTGTTACAGCGGGTTTTTTAGGTGATATAAGGACACGTAATGTAGTTACAACAATAATTCTCTGACTTTGAGCAAGAGGCATTATAGATATAATCTTTTGTTATTGTTTATTCTTTCTTTTATCCTATTACTGTGGTATATAAAAAATTAATATAGACTTATGATCCTTAATTTATGAATATATATATGTATAATTTACGATGACTCCGTGTTTTCCAAACATTTATGCTCCGTCTTTCCATGTTTTTTGCAGACTCCATGTTTTCCACAAGTTTTGACTCGGTGTTTTCCATATTTAAGTTTTCACTCCGTGTTTTCCATAATTGTTGACTCCGTGTTTTCCAATATCATGACGTCAGACTGCGTAATTTTGACTCCGGCTCCGACACTCCGGCTCCGGAGCTCCGACTCCGTGTTATCCATGTGACCTGTATGTGATACTAAGCGTGTTATAAGATTGTTGACAGTCGAAAATCGTCATATCCGGCCGGCGCCATATCGTGGGCAATAAAAAGTTTAAAAACACTTGTCTTTCAGCCAGCGCGTCATTTTCCCTACAGCGTCAAGGACAAGAGGCGAAATGTTGTCTGTTCTCAGGAAAACTGTTACAACGAATGCCGTTTTGCGGGCAGTTTGCCTAACCCCACTTTCTCAACGAAAATTGAGCAACGGTCCATCACATATTAAGACGGCACAAGCATTCGAGAGTATATCAGGTATATACATTAACTATAATAATAAAATTTTGTCATAATTGTCTCGGCACACGTGTGAACCCGTGTCGTGTGTGCGTAGCTTCACGTAAGTTATCCCATATATTTGTAGCCGGTAAAATGTTCTAAAATCTCTTCGTTCGCTTGTGGCTTTCCCTCATGGCCATGTCATGGTCTAACAAACAAGTATATTTCCTATAGCGTTGTCGGTAATATTTATGTAAACATAATTTTATATTACGTCCACTATTGTGTTGAAGCATTGAGATTTTATTTACTTTTGAAAACACCAAAACTACTCGAATTTTGATATGTGACTGACTAAAACATTTGACGATATCTCGCCAAACATTCTTTGCCAGACGATTATTGTCTGAAGTATTGATTCCGAGAGGCGTATTTGCAACACGTAATTCGTTTCACTACCCTGTCAAACTGCTTGTGTAAGTTGTATTTGTGTAATTTTTGAACGATATATAAATATTTGTCTCTATTCTGTAAGGCCTATAGTCATATACTGATTAGGACCTCCGAAATAAATGTGACAGACATTTATAATACAACTTGTTGTAACGCATGGCCCCCATGGCCATGCATTTCATGCATTTAAGAATACAGAAGTCATATCGAGGCGTATTCTGAAAATATTCGTCTCCTAGTCACTTGACCACATTTCACTTTGCCTTTGATGATTCAAATATAATAAGGTGTGTATAGGCTTTAGCCTAAGCTTTATCAGTGCTTAGCTTCAGACCTCTGGTTTCAGACTAGATCATCGTGATTCATATATATAAACAGCATGAAGCGGTAAACGTAGTACTAGCATAACATAGAGCCATATAGACGTAGCACTAGCATAACATAGAGCCATATAGACGTAGCACTAGCATAACATAGTCATAGAGCCGTATAGATGTAGTACTGGTGGTGAAAATATAGCCGAGTATCATGTGTAGCGGGTGTTGTAACTTACATGTACTAGTAACTTGTACTGAACAAGGCGTTGAGTGATAGACGAAATTTTTGCATTTGAACACTGCCATTTAGCGATATGTCACAAGGCTAGGCTGACTAGCTTCCGCGAAAGGACAAAAGACCTAAAACATGTGCTACCGACATACAGCGGTAATGTCTAACGTTGTTATACAGGAACAAAATATTAAATTGTTAATAATCTTAGTAAAATTGTATTGCCATGGCGTAGACATGCATGAATAATTGCATTGATGTTTTTTTGTTGCTTATTTCTTTCATGCACGCGTATCTCACATGACTTGGCAACACTTGTTATTGACCTAGAGAGAAAAACCGGAAAAAATAACAACACTGGGGGTGCTAATGAATTGTAAACACGTGATTGTAGCCAAGAGCAAGAAGTATAAAATATCCGTCTGAGTTATTTACGATTAATCATGGTCATAGGTGGTTATTCCGGGGCAGGGCTTAGCTGTATTGTAACTACTCGGTTAACCAAAAATTGAAACCAACTGAAGACAATGCTTTATTCTTCAAGGTGAAACGTGACCGCACCTGATATCCCTTAACAAAAGCTTTTTGTCTTCTGTTCAAGCAAATATTAATCTTAATAAATGGCGTTGCCTGGCATCAATTCCTGCATTTATTCAGTGTTTCGTGATCAAGTTCAATTAATCCTAAAGCCACAAAAACTGCCTGTCTAAACCCTGTCAATTTTTTCTATTATAAGGGGATTAAAAACACATGGGTAAAATAGGATATAGCAATTGGCAAAGGAGATTTAATCGTTTTTACGCATTCTTGAGTAAATGACCAAGAAATCCAAGACAAAGCCAAACCATACTTAGTTTTGAGTACTGAACGTCGTGCGATAAAATAACCAGGTGAAACTGAAAAAGTTAGGGTGATTAATGGAAGATGGTTTACATTTTAATAGCTCTATTTCTCAATACTGTTTCATAATAATAAGAAGCAGAGTTTACATTCTGAAAAATATCGCGTATCCCACGTTATGACGTCAATCATTGGACATCGATACCAAACATGCTGTCGCCTATGGCTGATCATGATCGTCGGGCTGTAAATTTTTAAAAAAAAATTATGATAATATGTATTATAAGGGTTTTTAGATTTGAATCATTTGATGGTTGTTTTGTGTCTTGAAAAAGACCAACTATAAAATTTTCAGTGTACAGCCTTTCATTGTAATTATTGGTTTATTGCATGGTTTAATCCGGCATCTGTTGTATAATGTAGTGAAGTGAAATGACTGAGTGAAGTGAAATGATCATGAAGTGTATTTGAGTGCAATTAACTGTACATTTTTAACGGGGTCGGGATGATGCAGTCAACAACATGCACTGGTCGTTTTTAAGTCATCCGGTAAAAAGTGAGTGTTCTATAAAGTTTTTAGCCACTAAGAAAAGATGTGTTTAAATGCATGTGACTCAAAAATCGCTTAACCTTTTTTATATATTTTTTTGTATAATTTTTTTACATATTTTTTTTAAATAAACAGGATATTACTCGGTTGTGGTTGCCAGGAAATGTGTAATTTTTTCCCGGTGTTGTGAAAAAAATGTTTCACTCATGTGAACATTGAGCAATATTCTCTGAAACATGCACTTAAAACTTAAAAGTAGCTAAATTCCACATGTAGCATTTCTTTATATGTATATGACCACTTAAAGAAAGCCAAGGTCTTTTGCAATACTGCGACGATCTCTCATAAGTTAAAAAATCAGGTGTGACTATTGTACAATATGAAGTATGCTATACGATCATTCAATCAGCCCCATTATTATAACTTAAATGTATAGTGAACGAACTCTATAGCTTCGCAATTCTGGATGTTATTAATACGGTCGAACGGAATGTCCAATCTTTTTTGCATGTTCTCGATTGTGAGATTTAAAATACAGTATCACGAACTTGTATCTTTTTGTATGGAGTTTGCAGGTGTACTAATTTATGACCATGTAACCATTTCAAGGTGCTCTACTGGCAAATCCCAGGACAGAATATCGAAACATCCGCGTATATCAAGGCAAGATAAAGGCTGTCATTCTAGACTGGGCAGGAACAGTGCTGGACTGTGGTGTGTACTCGCCAGCCGTTGTATTTGTTAAAGTGTTTGAACAAGAAGGAGTGCCAATCACTATGGAGGAAGCCCGTGAACCCATGGGAAGGTACGTGACGTCGCTGATGGCGGTGATAACTAGTCAGCTGGTACAGTAGATTTTTACGTCTATAGTTCTATAAATATATCACCTTTACTTATACGTATTCTTACTACGTTCACTTTATACTTTCAGGCACAAGAAGGTCCACATTCGGATGATCACACAAATCGACACTGTGCGAAGAAGATGGAAGGAGAAGTTTGGTCGAAGTCCAACTGAAGAAGATGTGGAAAGAATGTTTGAAAATTTTGTTCCAATGCAACTGGCCTGTTTGGAAGAATATTCCGAAATGATCACAGGTAAAGATAAACGTCATCAGTTCGCAATATTTAACTGGGAATTACAAATGTTCGTTAATCATCAACGATATGTTAGAACTAGAATTAGTATTACAACTAATATAATCTTTTTGGGGTCATTAGATGTCATAAAAAAAAACTGGGAAAGCCCCCCCCCAATGATTTTATTCCATGGCTAAAGAGGAGATATTTTTGTACACAAAAAATGCAAAAGCTGCACTTGAAAAAAAAGTTCGATTCTGACATTGTGTACTTAGATAATAGCTACAGCTACATATGTCGTACAAGTAGCTCTAAATTTTGGTATCGCGACTTTTCAGACACGTTTATCCGCACGGTTGGAAAATGAATGTTATCGGAGGATGAAAAAACGAAGTGGAAAATGGCTTATGGGATCCACTGATGATGGTAGTCTAATCAGATAATAATCTTTTCAGTTTTTTTCTGTTGACAGGTGCAGTAGACACTGTTAACGTTCTCCAAAAAGACTGGGGGCTAAAAATAGGGTCCACCACGGGGTTCACAACCCCTATGGTAGATATCCTCAAGAAGATCGCGGCAGAAAATGGTTATGAACCAGATTGCTATGTTGCCGCTGACGAAGTACCACAGGCGCGACCATTTCCTTATATGGTATGGTTGAACGCCATACGATTGGATGTGAATCCGATTTCGGCCATAGTAAAAGTTGATGATACAAAAGACGGTGTGCGAGAGGGAACATCAGCAGGTTGTTGGAGTGTTGGCCTGGCTAGAACGGTTAGTAGCATTTGCATTCTCTTTGTATAATATTTAATATACTAATTTGTAGTTTGTAGTTTGTAAGTAGCTCGTTCCAGGAAGCAAAACAAGGGGCTATACTGGGAGAAAATATTGTAGCTTAGCCTCCCTAAAAATACAAGCAGTTTTTATAGAACAAATTTCGAACAAAACATGGAATAAGAACTCTGCTAGCAATTCATTTACCTTTGCTTGTCTGTGTATTAGAGTATATCGATATATAAACTACTGCCGTATTTTTTGTTTGCATTGGTTAACAATGTTCGCCGCCCATGACTGGTTCCACTCAGTCCCTGATCACACACCAGTTACAGTATAGGAGTGTGTGAACTAAGAATAGTTGTGACTAAGGCATCCCGGGTAGGATCCACACGTATTTCTTATTTTTCACTTACAAGGTTTTTTATATACGCACGTACACGTACGGAAAATTTTAAATGATTTAAAATTTTTTATTATTTAACATCTAGGTCAACTAATGCATACTAAAATATGCTGAAAACTAAGTTCCTTCAATTTTTTCACTTCGTTTTTCTCACCGTTAATAGAATTTACATGGTTTGGAGACTAAATAAAAGACTAAGTACAAACAACTTATTAACTATGTTGTTGTCCAGGTTTATGCAAAAAAAGGTTCCTTTCTCGTCACGTGTCTATTGTATTTTAGCCAAACTTACCAATGGCATTTTTCTTGCTGAGCTCCTCAACCTTGACTTGAAAAATTAAAAGATTGCTATTGGTTTATCTGTGCAAAATACAATAGACATGTGATGAGACAATTTAAATTTTTGCATAAATCTGCCTCAACATAGTTAATGAGTTGTATTGTAGTTTTAAGTGGTCCCCAAACCATGTATATTCTACTAAATGTAGTTTTTTCGAAGGCAACGTGTATAAGGATTTAGACTTTAATGTGCGTATGAAAAACCGAAAAACGCGTAAGTGGAAAACAGCCTATAGTATTCCCAATTTAGATCGATATAGAAAAATTATGAGATAAAACTGTGAAGTTCTAATTTTCATGGTGACTTTTCATTTAAAGGGAAATTACGTGGCATTGAATGAGGATGAAATAAACGAACTGAGTGAGGAGGAGTATGAACTGAAGATTGCGAAATCGTACGAAACCTTGGCGAACGCTGGCGCACATTACGTCATTGATAGTATTGCTGAACTACCACCCGTAATTGAAGATATCAACCGCAGACTGGCTGCGGGCGAACGACCTTGAACGATCATTTGTAGTTGAACACCGCACAAGTTTTTAATTTTATTTACGACTTATAAGAAACTATATCTGTTTCTTAGATTTAAGATAGTGGCACGTCCCATTGATTCAATTGTTTAGACATTTTGTTATGTTTATTTATACAGCAAATTAAGGCGAATGCTTTTGATTGATTATTGGTAGCTAACAGGGTGAGAACACAAACAGTCGAGTAGACCAGTCACAATATTTTAATGCAGCTGAATGCAAAATGTAAAAGTTTGGAACGTGATTATGCTTTAGTTAACGCTATTGCATTGACGAGAATATCAAAATTATTTATGTAATAAAAATTTTATTATATCGAACAAGACGAAATTAGTGAGAAATTATCAAGTGTATGTTAGGATTTTATTATGCAATTGCAATAGTAAAACCATTATAATTAAGATAATACAAGTTTAACAATAAAATCCGATGATGTGTGGTTTGTGATGACTTGTTATAAGTACATATAACTATAATATATAGCTTCATTTTTGGTTTTTCTTTCTCATAAGACGTCGAACTGACGAGGAATGTCTGATGCAGGATTTCCACAAACAATAGTAGCAAATTTCCTTCAAAAATGCATGGTAGCCACAAGGGAGGGATCAGTGTTAATAGGGTATGTTATGATTTATGTAGTCTTGAAAAGTTCTTTGTTTCTCTCTTTTGCCAATGCTATCTTCCTATGAGGCCAGTCGTATGAAAATAAGTTGTGGAAACACTCTTATGGTACACGAAATTTGATTAGGGCTCGTTAGTTTTCTACAGCGAATCAAATCTCGTCTAAGATCAGGGTATCCGCGAGCAGGGTGTCGGTGTATTGGTCTCTTGACTTAAGTGCATGGTATGCCCGGCAATCTTCACAATTACACTAATAAGATCTTAACAGTTTCTGCGTTTGCTAGACTCGTAATTTCCCCTCGAAACTTCATTATATTATTTTTCGAACACAGTTAGAACGAAAAGCCATGGCGCAAATTTACGCGCCTAAAAAATCACAATGTTGTGCTTTGCATCAACATTGATGGTTCAACACGGTTCAACAACATTGTACAACATTGTTCACTCCTGATGCGACAACATGATCAAATTTTAACCGTGTAATGGAGGGCTAATTTTTATCCGTGTAATGGTTCCGCGGGATCCTGGCATCTGTTGCTTGGATCTAGATAACGCGGAATTCGAATATTAATAAACTCCCGGCTAGACAGGATGATTTAAACAGGCTCTATTTTCTTAAACATCCACCATTAACCGAATCATGGCTTATCTCTAAGTCAGTATACTGAACGTCACAGATCACTTGCTGATTCTGTTGTCAAAAGGCAGTGAAATGTTAAAGATCATTATTACGTATAATTATAGTGTTGAGGTCCTGGCAATCAAGAAATTGCCGGAGGTTTGAGTCTGACAGTGCGTCACATGTATCCGATCCGGATTCGGTGCGTTTACACCTGTGGAGGATACACGTAAACGCAACATGTATAGAGGTTGCCCCGTCAGTTTACACTATATATAGCTACACTCAATTGGCACAGCACGGCTAAAATGGGTACTCGAAGCAATTTCATCCGTGTTTGGCCTTTGTTTTGTTAGCCTGAACACTAATAAAACTGGGCATGGGTACCAATTTTAGCCATGCTGTGCCAAAGAATCGAGTGCAGTGTAAACGAATCCCGCGATACATGCATGAGGATATAATTATAGGACGGAAATAAAGAATAAACTTTAGTACATGTTATGAAATTTTATTATACCCGGAACTTGAACATTTTTAACCATAAACCAATAGGCAATAAATGTATTTTTATGTCTCTTGCATGTGCATGGATGGGGTTTTGTTGTGAAGTAAATGACTAGTAATTATAAGCTAAGAAGAACTAAACGCTTAGAAATTTCGAAAGCGTTAACTGTAGTTAAAATCTACAGGGTGTCTCAAAAAAACCGAAAACTATTGAAATCACTCATTGTTAAAATTTGAATGCGTTGCTCACGAATTTCAGCCCGTTAAGATTTAATGCAGCCTATAAAATGCTAAATACTTTGTGTTCCTAGAGAAAGGGGACTTGTCGAAAGTCATGGTCCTTGAGATGCACATTTAAATATTGTTATCCATATTTTGTAAATTGTAAATATTGTTAATAAATATTATTTTTGTGTAGAAGCAAATTTTACCGCATCATATACATGCATAAAAATGCGTATGCATGGCAAACATTTATACCCCTGTGAGTCCCGACAGAGTGCTTAGGCATTCAAACTCTAACAATTGCATTGTTATAGGTGATTTCAATAGTTTTCGTTTTTTTTGAGACACCCTGTTGTTAAAGTTAACTATCCTCAAGGGCATAGTTAACTTTTCAAAACATAGTTAAAATGGCGTGTTGAACTTTTGAGGAGTGAGAAAACATTATAAAATCATGCTATTTCAATGTTTAAGGCCCAGTTTTTACGTCGAATTTTGGTCACATCGAATGCAATAGATATAAATAAGATTTGAACTTCGTTAACATCTAATTATCTATTGTTTGAATTGCATTCAACGCAACTAAAATGCGAGGCGTATAACTGGGCCTAACAACCCCACGCAAGTTAACCGCATGATTTGTCAAGCTCGGACAAACTACGTTTTGTGCAACGCGTTAATTAAAATAAACACGAAAAAAATGCTAAAAAATAATGCTAGTGAATTTTATGATCTTATATCTGAAACACAAATTCGCCACGATTAGCAAAGCTAGTGTCAGGACTATCGCCAGGGAGCTTAATTGGGACCATTTAACAAGGAGGGGGTGAGTGTATATTCATATATACACGTTCGTATAAGTAAGTTCATGCACCTTAAATATTACTAAATAACAAAACGATTTTACTAAAACTGCTACGATACTGAGCTTTAAAAAACAGCCGCTATGTTCGGCATTCATAGTTTTTACCACAGACACGATAGAGAGTTCATGTGCACTGGTCCTGGTAGAAAGCGACATTCTATTTCCAGCAACCTCCTTTAGGTGCTCGTCCACCGCCTGGGGTGAATTGACCTCCCTTATAGAAAGTACCGCCACCACTGGATGACGACCTGGAGCTGGAAGCTGACGACCTGGAGCTGGAAGCTGACGACCTGGAGCTGGAAGGTGACGACCTGGAGCTGGATCCTGACATGTAGCAGCCACCGCGAGGGGACCGGCCTCCCCCGGGTGTGAACTGACCACCTGCATAGAACTTTAAACTCGAATTTGATGGCGGTGTTTGAGAACTGTAAGGCGATGAGGATGCTTGTGGGGTCGAATAGCTGGTATATGGGCTTGAACCTTGGCTGTCATACGATGATTGTTGCTGCATCGCCTGTAGCTGGCGTTCTATAACTGGGGAATATCAAATAGACGGTGAAATCAAGATTTAGTAGGTTACAGATGGTTTAGTGGTAATAAATGCATGGGCAAAAGATTTCCGTGATATTTTTTCAAATTTGAAAACAAAATTCATAAATTTTAACCATATCAAAGTGACTGTGCACCATGTTTATAATAAAGCTTTCATCTTAACCAATCATCACTGCCCATTAAAAATACCTACATAATGTGTATTTTCTCTTAGTTTTTAACCATACAGGTATGGTTCACATATCGACATGTCCAGATCAACCTCGTACTAGTAAAAGCTGCTCGTGTGATGTGCTAATGTTTCATCAATGATCAACCTTTGTAACCAAACCGGAATTTTAATCTCTAATATTCTCGTTAATAACGGTAAGATGGCTTAAAAATCCTGAAACAAGATTATGTATAGCTAATATCTTACTCCTACCAAGCTCTTAATAAGATTCAGATTAAAAAATATTAAAGTTATAGCACACCTAATTTCATTCGCTCATGTTTCTCTTTTTCCACTGCTTGAACTTTTTCTTCAAACTTCTTTTCGGCCCAGCTGTTTAACTTTTTTAACTCTGTTTCCTGAAGCTTGGAAATTAGATGCAAGTCGTTGGTACTGTTTTGGAAAATGCTGACAAGGTTTGCCTTTTTCTTTCGAAAGGTTTCCCGAAGGCCCGAGGCTCCTTGATCCCTCCGCAGCTCATTCTCGACTTCCGATCTGAAATCCTCGGCGGCTTTTGCCAAGCAAACTTGCTGCTCCGATCTTTCGGCGTTCTTCTTTGCTTCAACTTTTTCCTTCATTCTCTTGAAAGCCCATGTTTTCAAATCTTCAAACTTTTCTGATCGATTTTGTATCCAATCGAGCCCTCCTGTCTTTTCCAAAAAGGAATCGCCCAATCCTTGCAAATATTTCGGAAATCGTTGTTCTATCTGCATGGCGCCTTCTTCAGCCTTGCTTAACTCGTTTTCCACCATTGATCTGAACGTCTTTTCGGCTGTCGCGAGAATTGCGCTTTGTGCGGCCTTTCTGGACTGTGTGGCAAGCTGGTTTTCCTTTCTCTTTGCATCTATTTCACGATCTGCAAAATCTTCCAACCTTTCCAGTACGTCGTTCCTGTATACGTCCTCGAGATCGACTTGTGCTGTAATTTTTTTGAACGCGTCTAAAAGAGCGTCTCTTTCCTTGACTAACACATTCTCCAATCCATTTTTCACTGGAACATCGATTTTCTTGTACGCCTCTATAAGACTTTCCTCGAAAAACCGTTTTGCTTCGTCGACCGTGCCTCGTTGAAGCTGGCTAACCACCGACTTGACATGCACAATGTCACCGTCTTCCAGTTTTTCCGCAAAAGATTTGACAAAGGCGTTGACATTGTTGAAATTGACATCGACAGTTCCAAAGCTACGTGGCATGTCCATCTGAGCTAGTAAAATATATTTGAGCTCTTCGATGCCTTGTTTGAACTCTTCAGATGTAGAATGAAGATCAAGCTCACGCACGTCTTCGCGAGGTGTTGGAAGGATACAGACATCAATGCTTTCGAACGAGGAGAGCAGCTTCTCACGTATCTTGTTGCGCTCTTTAACTTGTTCCCCACGTTTATTTTCATTATCAAAAATCATGGCAAAAGCTTCCTCAACCGTTCCTAAATAAATCCAAGACAATCGTTTATTGACAGTGACAGTGTCAGTGTTAAAAAAAGCAGCATTCAATCACAAAATACTGTTTGGATATTCCAATGAAATACCGTCAGAAATGACACGACAAAACGAAACTTTTACGCTTAAATTGTCTAGTCTGTTTTCATTTATTCTCTAGTCTGTTTTCATTTATTCGAGAAGCCCTTGAACAAATCCAGCTTAAATCTCAATTTAAAAAACTCAGATCCTTTATTTGGTTTCAATGCAACAAAATACCTTCAAAATGAAAATCTCGTAGTACAATATGCAGATGGCCAAATTTCGATTTGTCCTCTTCGAAACTGTTGGACGAAACACAGTTCGCGACCTCGACTAGAAGAGCGAGCTCATTTAGGATTTGGTTTTTCTGGAGACCACCTTTCCAATTGAAGAGGATTACTTTTGACAAGAGAATAATTGGTGTCAGAAGTGTGGCGTCGCTCTCGATGCCTTCATCTCCCTGTCCTTCCGTGTCCACAATGAAAGCAAAGCCAGCGTTACCGACTTCATACCCAACGTTTGATACTTGAATCCCCTTTGTACACACACCCATTGTGTCCGCCGAAGGAAACACGCTGTCACCGATGAGACAATTCATGAGGAATGATTTACCCTGTCTAGCGGGTCCGAGGATAGTCATGAAGTTGAGAAATTTGTAAGAATCAGACATTGAACGTTGCAGCTGTTTTGGTGTAGAAACGTGAAGTTTTTGACCACTTCGAGTAATCCAAGGGAAATACTTGCTGCTTTTTGCCCTGTGTAAAAGATACATTTCAATCAACACAGAACATACATATAGAGGAGGAATTCCAAGTTAACGAGCGCCTCTGAAAGACCCACATTTATCGAAAAATTGAGTTGTTCTAAGTCTCAAGGGCTCAAAATTATCGTAGATTTTGTTATTTTGTAGTGTTTTCGTACTGTATATATACCAAGCTGCTCCTCATTATTGTGATAAGTGACGAAATTTTATACTCAGTTGTTAGTTGATCGTGTTGAAAGACATATAAAAGGGGATAAAAAAATACATTTCCAAATACTCATTGACCTGAGTAACTCCAGTGATTTGGTCTGCGAAATCAATTTAGACAAGAAAGATATATATACTACAACCGACCTTTGTCACTAATAAACGAGGAGAATAGGAAACTCAAAAACTCAAATCTCTTAAAACTCAAAAAAACTTTTAGAAATGCCTGAGTACGTATATACAATTTTTGTCTCCCAAAAAAGTTTCCAAATTTTTCTCTGTGTTAATAGTAAAACGACCATACTTTGGTTTTGCATGGGTTGGGTAACTTGCGTTGTGTCACGTCATATTGTAGTTCGATAACATGAAGTGAAGGAACTGCCTAAAGTTAACTGATGCAGTAAAACTCGCCGTTTTACTGAGTGCATGATTAACATGTAACGTGTACGTACTGCGTACCTATTTTTTGTTGTCCCAATGCTGGCAGACCAATCAGGAGAAAATGTGCGAAAAAATGTTCGCGTGTGTGTGAATGTGTATATGTATTTGGTAAATATACTATACAGGCTGTATCAAAAAAAGTGTCCCAAATGTAAAATTTTCGTTTTTCAGGATATTTTGCAGAATTTGGCAAATTTTTGTGTTCCTAGAGATAGTTAAGACTTATCTGGTGTACCTAGGCCAAGTTTGGTTTTTCATTAACAAAATTATGTTACCGAGGAGGTGGTTCCTTTCCACTGATATTGAGAGGGCTTGCGCGCGAAAATGTGAAGCTGAAATTGAGATATTATTTAGCTGTCTAAAAGTAGGAAAGCTTTTTAATAAACTATCAAAGTTTCAGGAAAAATAATGCATACAGGGAGCAACGCGCGACCCCTAAAGGTGACAAATATTTCATTGCGCGCAGTGGATTAAATGCACCGTTGATTTTAGCGTGACCGATCTCATGCAATGCTGGGCAAATGAATAAATTAAAGCGAGAAACTGAACAAGAAGACGAAGCGATTTAATAACAAGATTTTTATTCTTGATATTAATCCTCAACATTTCCATCATTTCTTTCTAAGCAAACTGCGGCTCGTCTGAGCATGGTAAACACTGAAAGGCGAACCACATTTGTCTGTCCTGCCTCAAATTATCCATTTCGTTCGAAATTCTTTCTTGCAAATCGCCTACGCTACCAACGGCAAATGTAGGCGAATGGACAGACAAATGGTTCGCTGTTCAGTGTTTACTATGCGCGGACGAGCCGCATTTTGCTTAGAATGAAATGGTGGACATGCTGAGGATTAACATCACGAATAAATCGCTTTGTTTTTGTGTTCAGTTTCTCGCTTTAATTTATTCATTTGCCCAGCCTTGCATGAGATCGGTCACGCTAAAATCAACGGTGCATTTAATCCATTGCGCGCAATGAAACATTTGTCACCTTTAGGGGTCACGCGTTGCTCCCAGTTGCTTTATTTTTCCTGAAACTTTGACAGTTTATTAAAAAGCTTTCCTACTTTTAGACAGTTAAATAATATCTCAATTTCAGCTTCACATTTTCGCGCGCAAGCCCTCTCAATATCAGTGGAAAGCAACCACCCCCCCGGCAACATAATTTTGTTAATGAAAAACCAAACTTGGCCTAGGTATACCAGATAAGTCTTAACTATCTCTAGGAACACAAAAAATTGCCAAATTCTGCAAAATATCCTGAAAAACGGAAATTTTACATTTGGGACATTTTTTTTGATACACCCTGTATATACTAGTGGTAATCACATATTAGTGATGTGCGTTTAGAATGTGTTGATTTCGGTTTAACAAAAATTTCGGTTTAACATCATTAACAAAAATGTTATCATTATAACGTCACAGCGTATGTGATTAAAAGGTTACCCGCAAAATGAGTAATTTAACAACAGTGATGGCTCATATGCTTTGATTAACAACAAAATGTCAAAATACTGAAAATAGAGCGAGCACATGGTCTCCAGTTACTATGACGACACATCAGAACAAGGCAAAGCTCTGACATCGCAAATTCGATTATTCGATATGACACCACTGAATGACACGGCTGGGAAGCGTTCTCTTTCGTCGAACGCATAGCAATTTGGATACGACCCTAGATGGCACTAATTCAGGGTTGTTTATGCTGAAGAAGCGTTAAATGTGTACGATGCGTGGCCAAAGTCGAGCCAATTCAGTGGTTAGGCCAAATAAATTATCGGTGATAGTCAGAACGGTTTCCGAACCGGATATACAGGGTGTATCAAAAAAATGTCCCAAATGTAAAATTTCCGTTTTTCAGGATATTTTGCAGAATTTGGCAATTTTTTGTGTTCCTAGAGATAGTTAAGACTTATCTGGTATACCTAGGCCAAGTTTGGTTTTTCAGCAACAAAATTATGTTACCGGGGGGGTGGTTCCTTTCCACTGATATTGAGAGGGCTTGCGCGCGAAAATGTGAAGCTGAAATTGAGATATTATTTAGCTGTCTAAAAGTAGGAAAGCTTTTTAATAAACTGTCAAAGTTTCAGGAAAAATAATGCAAACTGGGAGCAACGCGCGACCCCTAAAAGTGACAAATATTTCATTGCGCGCAGTGGATTAAATGCATCGTTGATTTTAGCGTGACCGACTCATACAAGGTGGGCAAATGAATAAATTAAAGCGAGTAAATAAACAAGAAGACGAAGCGATTTAATAACAAGATTTTTATTCTTGATGTCAATCCTCAACATTTCTACCATTTCTTTCTAAACAAACAGCGGCTCGTCTGAGCATGGTAAACACTGAACGGCGAACCACATTTGTCTGTCCTGCCTCAAATTATCCATTTCGTTCGAAATTCTTTCTTGCAAATCGCCTACGCTACCGCCGGCAAATCTAGGCGAATGGACAGACAAATGGTTCGCTGTTCAGTGTTTAGTATGCTCAGACAAGCCGCAGTTTGCTTAGAATGAAATGGTGGACATGCTGAGGATTAACATCACGAATAAATCGCTTTGTCTTTGTGTTCAGTTTCTCGCTTTAATTTATTCATACAACCTTGCATGAGATCGGTCACGCTAAAATCAACGATGCATTTAATCCACTGCGCGCAATGAAATATTTGTCAACTTTAGGGGTCGCGCGTTGCTCGCAGTATGCATTATTTTTCCTGAAACTTTGACAGTTTATTAAAAAGCTTTCCTACTTTTAGACAGCTAAATAATATCTCAATTTCAGCTTCACATTTTCGCGCGCAAGCCCTCTCAATATCAGTGGAAAGGAACCACCCCCCGGTAACATAATTTTGTTAATGAAAAACCAAACTTGGCCTAGGTATACCAGATAAGTCTTAACTATCTCTAGGAACACAAAAATTTGCCTATTTCTGCAAGATATCCTGAAAAACGGAATTTTTACATTTGGGACATTTTTTTTGATACACCCTGTATAGTAGTCATCGACCGTTCTACGAAAATATGAGTTGCCGTGTAAACGATTTTGGAAACGAAAAGTAGTAAAGTCAAGATATTGTTGTGCGTACCATAACCAGATATCATGTAATCGAATTCTGAGCGTGCAGGTCTGCGACAAGGAAAATAGCTTGACTGTTTGCCAATGCAAATATGTCGGCTGTTTAATAGCTAAGCGTCCATCGAGATTCGAGCAACTCCATCGAGCAAAATACATTATTTTTTAGAAGTAAGAAAATTAACCTATCCGGTTTAGGCGGTTTTAAATTATGCAAAACATAATCGAAAACAAAGGAAAACCGAAATATTCCAGGAAATAGGAATAATTCTGGGAAAACCGAAAAATTGTGGGACATATTTACTTTCAATTTCAAGATACGAATTATATAAAACAAGACAAAAGTTTTCGTTCTCTTATATTTTATTAAATTTTTGCTGGCAAAGGTTTTCACAGCAATTCGATTGTGACCTAGACCAGGGGCAGGTTGTATTAAGCCCGTTTAGCTTAAAAGGTGGTTAAGCTCAAAATAGAGAGCAAGTTTATCGTTTTATTCAACAACCGAACTAAATGTTTTTAATCTTAATACAAAGATACTGTTTACAACTACATATTCAGTGCATAATATTCAAGTTGACTCATTCAAGAGAGATGTGAAATGTTACGTGTCGGATTACTATGCTGGGCCACATGGCTGAGTGTTTCCTTTCAATATGGCACAAAAATCATGAAAAGCAAACCACTTCACTGGCAAATGAGCATAAAATATCACTAAATAATCCACTTCACTTACATCTGTTATACATGCAATTACATAATCTCTTCCTTGTGCGTATTTTAATACTTTCACTACAATCAATCCATATTTGCGAATGTCGGCGTGAGTAAATTTATATTGCACAAAAATGGTTTTATATATTTCCTGTATTATAGCTACCGCCTGCTACCTAAATGTTTGACAAACTGGAAAAGTGTTTCCTTTCTTTCGCGCTATGCTTATAAAGTACAACTCAATTCGACAGCCTTAGAAAAGCCATGTCAGAACCACTAACCACGTGCATCTTAGACTAAGCTCGTTTACTGGTTTGGCTATAAATTTCGCTTATGAAATTTGCAGCAAGGAATATTAGACTTACCCAAAAGTCAGATTTGGTAAATCCTTAGGTTTTGGACTTGGTGAACTTGCCATAATGTTAGTTCGTTTAGTAGATATATATAGTCGAACAGTCAATTAATGCCAATGTAAGTGTTCACGAAAGGAAAACAAGACGCGATATGCAGAGCGGAAGTCTGCGGAATATAGAGTGTCAATAGTGGTCAACCTTTGAATAGTGTTGTCAAAATAAACTTGATTATGCTAATTATGCTATATTTTGAATGAACTAATATAATTATGCCAAGTTTTGCCAATTAGTACTGCTGACAACTGCTGACCACATGCGCAACAGAATCGTCTTTAAATTTCATTTGGAAATATTTCTATTCCGATGAAATCGCAAAGTAATTTGAACTTGATTCCACCGAAAAAATCTTGCATTCAGAAAATTTCCCCCTGAAAACTCTCATTTTCTGCTCCATGCAAACTCTTCCGATTTATAATGCCTTAAACCAGCGAGAAACATAAACATAAATGCTGCTATCAGAATCAGAGTGAACTCAAATAAGACTGGAATGCTCACTCTGTCGGAAGTTTGGAGCCAAGATGGCAGACACTGAAGGCGGAAGCCTTTCTTATAGGTTATGATCCAGGCCTCCAATTATAAGCTAAGAAGAACTAAACGCTTAGAAATTTCGAAAGCGTTAACTGTAGTTAAAATCTAGTTAAAGTTAACTATCTTCAAGGCCATAGTTAACTTTTCAAAACACATAGTTAAAATGGCGTGTTGAACTTTTGAGGAATGAGAAAACATTAAAAAATCATGCTATTTCCAAGAGCGCAAATCCTGGGGGGACGGAGGGGACATGTCCCCCCCACTTTTTCGGCTGAGGGGGATGAATATTGTGTTATCCCCCCCACTTTTGAAAAGTCAATTTTCTCACGATTTTCAGATATTCACCGAGATGTGACCTTTTTGTTGCCATTTCAGCTGCTTCGTTGCCATCGCTGCTTCGTTTAATTAAAATATTTCGTCTTTACTTGTCGCACCAAAATGCGACGCCATTTTGTTTTGACCCGAAGGTTAGGTTAATAGTGCCATGTTATTCCAAGATACGCAACTAATCAAATTGCAGAAAAAGCACTATTTCGACTTTAAGTATAGGCTAATGTTCGCACCGAAAACATTATGTGGAAACATACATGAAGTATCCTCTTTATGCAGTGCATTTAAACAGGCTCAAATTAAAGAAATTTTACTTGGCAGCATTATTTAACAGTTCATAGTTGGCAATTTTCGTTTTCTGGTTCTTGTTTTACAGTAATCATGTGAAAGGTAATTCTATACGTATATTCAGCTACCGTATCTGCAGTATTTGTTGAAAATTGTTGTTTGAATGACTGTGAAATCAATGAATGACTTGACTGGTACATGTCTCGAAAAAACAGTAATTCAAAACGTGCGAAACTTTCTGGAATTGCAAGGTTTTTTAAAATATCCGAACCAAGCTCGCCAGCCGGTTCTACGTCCAGTCTTTCATCAGAAAATTCTACACAAGCTTTGCCATTGACAGTTACAGCGGACTTAAGTAGAACAAGTTGTAGCAATGACAACAGCCCTGGAGAAACACTGTCAATCGATCTACCAACCAACAAGAATAGTGGAAATACATTTCCTAGCTGTGATGCATCGACAAACATGATGAACGTTGAGGGACACCATTCCCACCATATTACTGACTGCCGTTCTGTGCCTGACATTGCACTAGCATGTGTTAGCTCCACATCGGAAATAGGTTTGCCTACTGATGTCATCTCCCAATATTGCAGCTTTCTCTTTAGAAGAACCTAATCAGCCAAATGTAAGTGCCATCCCTTCTCAGATAACACCAAAACGAACGCTGCATTTCCAAAAAAAGTGGTATGATGAGTTTCCATGGCTTCACTATGACAGTAGTTTGCAGAAGGTTCTGTGTTTTTACTGCCTAAAAGCTAATGCAATGGGTATCATCGACTTAGCCCGATGTAAAGAACCGGCATTTATTGCCCACGGCTTTAACAACTGGAAGAAAGCTATTGAAAAATTTAAATCGCATCAAAAGTCTCAAACCCATTCATTGGCGGTCAGGCAAATTGCTGCAGTAAAAAAACCATCGGTAAGCGCTCAACTTGTTACCCAGATGCAAAAAGATCAACAGCTTGCACGAAATTCGCTTATTAAGTTGTTTACGAGTATTAGGTACCTATTGCGGCAAGGTACTGCGTTTCGTGGTCACGACAAATCTGATGGAAATTATTTGCAATTGCTCAAACTGCGAACGGAAGATGATCCAAACCTGGAGATTTATCTAAAAAGAACAACTAACTTTACCTCATTTGCTGGGCAAAACGAGATGATTAGGCTTTTCAGTCATAACATTTTGCAGGATATTATACGGGAGATCCAGAGGAATGAATTTTTTGCAGTGATTGTTGATGGAACACAAGATATAATTGGAGATGAACAAGAGTCTATCTGCCTAAGACATGTAGATTCTGAACTTAATGTACACGAAGACTTTATGGGCTTATATGAAATTCCTAGTACTACGAGCGACGTGTTGGCGCAGATGATATTTGATGTCCTCATTCGGTTTGGACTGTCTGTTGACAAGTTGCGTGCCCAAACATATGATGGAGCTGCTAATATGAGCGGTTGTCATACAGGATGTCAAGCAAGGGTGAGAGAAAAACAACCTCTTGCTCTGTATTTTCACTGCGGTTCGCACACGTCAAATCTTGTCATGCAACACGCGGTTAACTCCTGCGAACTTATTCGAGACTCCTTACAATGGATTAACGAGCTGGGCGCTCTTATGAGCAGGTCTGGAAAGTATAAAGCTATTTTCCAGATAATCTGCAATTCCTGTGAATCAGTAGAGAGCGACAACAATCTTCATCCTACAAAGATCAAGCCACTGTGTGTTACTCGGTGGCTATGTAGATTAGATGCCATACATTCTGCAAATCTGTCAATATGCACATACTAGAAAGTTTGAAGGAAATGTCAAAGGCGACGGGCGAGTCTGCTACGAAAGCAAATGGCTTACATGACAGGTTTATGCAGGGAAAGATTTTTCTTGGGTTGTTCATGGCCGTCAAACCTATAGCTGTATTGGAACAACTTAACAGCGCCCTTCAAGCCAAGTCCTCCAATCTTTCCGGAGCAATTGAAGCTGTAAAGAAATCGTCAGAGCACATCAGCACACTGCGAAGTGATGAAGCATTCCATCAACTATTTGTTGCTGCTGAGAAGAAGTGTGAAGACTATTATTTGAATCCAATCCAGTTACCTCGAATACGAGCTCCTCCTCGACGATACACAGATGAGGCTTCTTCATATCAACCTCGAACACCTGAAGAATTTTACAGGATGCAGTATTTCCAATTTATCGATGCTATAACCACAGGTTTGTCTGAGAGGTATGACACACAACAATCCGGCCTCGCCGAATATATTTAAAGTTGGAAAAGATGCTAACTACTGGAGTAGTGGATCATGATGTAGTGGCCAAGTATCCGGAAATTGACGAGTGTACTTTCCCAGTACAATTGCAGATGTTCAAGCAAACTTACAAAGCCGAGTCCCTACACGATGCTAAGGTTGCTTACCGGGGCGCCGATCCTACAGTACGCTCACTGTTTCCTCAAGTGTTCATTCTTTTGAAACTTCTCTTAGTGTGTCCTGTGACGTCTTGTGAGTGTGAGCGCAGCTTTTCCGCCTTAAGGCGTTTGAAAACGTGGCTCAGAACTACCATGTCACAGCGTAGACTTAACGATATATCTGTGTGCCATGTTCACCAAGACCGGCTAGACAATGTAGATGTTCGTCAATTAGCAGAACGTTTTGCAGAAATGTCAGAAGTCCGTCGGAAGATATTCGGAGCATTTTAGTTCGGTTTACAACATATTTCATATTTGTGGACAAAACTGGGATTTTTTAAATTTTCGTATCTGCAGTCATGTCATTTCTGTATATGCATGTTTTCAGTATAAACATATTAAAACTTTAGCTTTCGTCAAATATCGATTAATCGACTTACTCCTTTGCCGAGGTAAAGAGGTCGTGGTAAAGAGGTCCGTATAAAGATGCATAAAATTATAAAACGTTACGAAAACTATCACTATACACCTTGGACCACCCAGTCCATCCCCCCCACTTTTCAAGACAGATTTGCGCCCTTGATAGTTTTGATCTATCTTATGAGATGAAAATTTACAGCGGCATTGCATGCGAGTTATAATTGTTTTCTAACTTTTCACAATGTTGTGCATGTTTCGCGACGATCATACAAAAATTAATAGTGTCAGGTGCAGGTATATGGGATGCTTTGTCGACAATACTATGCTACAAAATTTATGGAAAATACCGAAAATATAACGAATTTTGAAAACATTGTAATCGACTATTTACTTTTAACGAACATCAACATGCTTACATGCATACATCGTCTCATTTGCAATTATTATACATCTAGCCAATCACAATTAGAAATTTTACGTTCGTGCATTTGCATAACTGAAAATAACGTCGCTTACGGTCTTCGGTGAATGTTAACTATTGGGACCATTTAAGGGTGAGTGTATATTCATATATACACGTTCGTATAAGTAAGTTCATGCACCTACCTTAAATATTACTAAATAACAAAACGATTTTACTAAAACTGCTACGATAGAGTTTTTAAAACAGCCGCTATGTTCGGCATTCATATAGTTTTTACCACAGACACGATAAAGAGTTCACTGGTCCTTCTGGACATTCTTGATCTATATCCAGCAACCTCCTTTAGGTGCTCGTCCACCGCCTGGGGTGAATTGACCTCCCTTATAGAAAGTACGGCCACCACTGGATGACGACCTGGAGCTTGAAGCTGACGACCTGGAGCTCGAAGCTGACGACCTGGAGCTGGAAGGTGACGACCTGGAGCTGGATACTGAACTGGGAAACATATAGCAGCCACCGCGAGGGGCCCGGCCTCCCCCGGGTGTGAACTGACCACCTGCATAGAACTTTAAATCAGACATTGATGGCGATTTTCGAGAACTGTGAGGCGACGAGGATGCGAATTGTGGGGTCGAATAGCTGGTATATGGGCTTGAACCTTGGCCGTCATAGCATGCTTGCGGGGGCGAATAGCTGGTATATGGGCAAGAGTCAAATGATGGAAAGCTTGAATCTTGGCCGTAATAGGATGGTTGTTGCTGCATGGCCTGTACACGGAGCTGGTGTTCTATAATTGGCGAATATGAAATAGACGGTGAAATCAAGCATGATTGAGGTTACAGATGGTTTGGTGGTAATAAATGGGTAAAAGAAATCTGCAATATTTTTTCAAATTTGAAAACAAAATTCATAAATTTTAACCATATCAAAGTGACTGTGCAATAAGTTTATAATAAAGCTCTCATCTTAACCATGCAATCATCACTGCAGATTAAAAATACCTAACCTTTGTAAACAAACCGGTACTTTAATCGCTAATATTCTCGTTAATAACCGAGATCGCTGAAAAATCCTCAAACGAGATTGTATAGCTAATAGCTAACTCCTACCGAGCTCCTAATAAGATTCAGATTAAATTTTATAAAGTTATAGCACACCTAATTTCATTCGCTCATGCTCCTCTTGTTCCGCATCTTGAACTTTTTCTTCAAACTTCCTTTCGGCCCAGCTGTTTAACTTTTTTAACTCTGTTTCCTGAAGCTTGGAAATTAGATGCAAGTCGTTAGTACTGTTTTGGAAAATGCTGACAAGGTTTTCTCTTTTCTTTCGAAAGGTTTCCCGAAGGCCCGAGGCTTCTCGACCTCTCCGCAGCTCATTCTCGACTTCCGATCTGAAATCCTCGGCGGCTTTTGCCAAGCAAACTTGCTGCTCCGATCTTTCGGCGTTCTTCTTTGCTTCAACTTTTTCCTTCATTCTCTTGGAAGCCCATGTTTTCAAATCTTTCAACTTTTCTAATCGATTTTGTATCAAATCGAGCTCTCCCGTCTTTTCCAAAAAGGAATTGACCAATCTTTGCAAATATTTCGGAAATCGCTGTTCTATCTGCATGGCACCTTCTTCAGCCTTGCTTAACTCGTTTTCCACCATTGATCTGAACGTCTTTTCGGCTGTCGCGAGAATTGCGTTTTGTGCGGCCTTTCTGGACTGTGTGGCAAGCTGGTTTTCCTTTCTCTTTGCATCTATTTCACGATCTGCAAAATCTTCCAACCTTTCCAGTACGTCGTCCCTGTATACGTCCTCGAGATCGACTTCTGCTGTAACTTTTTTGAACTCGTCTAAAAGAGCGTCTCTTTGCTTGACTAACACTTTCTCCAATCCATTTTGCACTGGAACATCGATTTTCTTGTACGCCTCTATAAGACGTTTCTCGAAAATCCGTTTTGCTTCGTCGACCGTGCCTCGTTGAAGCTGGCTAACCACCGACTTGACATGCACAATGTCACCGTCGTCCAGTTTTTCCGCAAAAGATTTGACAAAGGCGTTGACATTGTTGAAATTGACATCGACAGTCCCAAAGCTACGTGGCATGTCCATCTGAGCTAGTAAAATATATTTGAGCTTTTTGATGCCTTGTTGAAACTCTTCAGTTGTAGAATGAAGATCAAGCTCACGCACGTCTTCGCGAGGTGTTGGAAGAATACAGACATCAATGCTTTCGAAAGAGGAGAGCAGCTTCTCACGTATCTTGTTGCGCTCTTTAACTTGTTCTCCGCGTTTATTTTCATTATCAAAAATCATGGCGAAAGCTTCCTTAACCGTTCCTAAATTAATCCAAGACAATCGTTTATTGACAGTGACAGTGTCAGTGTTAAAAAAGCAGCATTCAGTCACAAAATACTGTTTGGATATTCCAATGAAACACCATCAGAAATGACACAACAAAACGAAACTTTTATTCTAAAATTGTCTAGTCTGTTTTCATTTATTCGAGAAGCCCTTGAACAAATCCAGCTTAAAATTCATTTTAAAAACTCGATGCAACAAAATACCTTCAAAATGAAAATCCCGTAGCACGATATGCAGATGTCCAAATTTCGGTTTGTCCTCTTCGAAACTTTTGGACGACACACAGTTCGCGACCTCGACTAGAAGAGCGAGCTCATTTAGGATTTGGTTTTTTTGGAGACCACCTTTCCAATTGAAGAGGATTACTTTTGACAAGAGAATAATTGGTGTCAGAAGGGTGGCGTCGCTCTCGATGCCTTCATCTCCCTGTCCTTCCGTGTCCACAAAGAAAGCAAAGCCAGCGTTTCCGACTTTAAAGCCAACGTTTGATACTTGAATCCCCTTTGTACACACACCCAATGTGTCCGCTGAGGGAAACACGCTGTCACCGATGAGACAATTCATGAGGAATGATTTACCCTGTCTAGCGGGTCCGAGGATAGTCATGAAGTTGAGAAATTTGTAAGAATCAGACATTGAACGTTGCAGCTGTTTTGGTGTAGAAACGTGAAGTTTTTGACCACTTCGAGTAATCCAAGGGAAATACTCGCTGTTTTTTGCCCTGTATAAAAGAAACATTTCAGTCAACACAGAACATACTTATAGAGGAGGAATTCTAATCCTGCACGAAGATAGTTCATATATTTAAGCATTTATAAATTTAAACATTTAATACATGTATTTCACTATTTTTCTATATGCATCTTCATATATAGTCGAAGTTAAAGAGCGCCCATGAAAAACACACATTTATCGAAAAATTGAGTTATTTTAAGTCTAAAGGACTCGAAATTATCGTAGATTTTGTTACTTTGTAGTGTTTTCGTACTGTTTATAAAGCAACTCATTATTGTGATAAGTGACAGTTGTTAGTTGATAATGTTGAAAGACATACCAAACTAAAGGAGATAAAAATATTCTCCGACCTGAGTAACTGGAGTGATTTGGCGAAATTATTACCTGATAACTGGAGTGATTTGGCGAAATTCCGCGAAATTAATTTAGACAAAAAGGATGGCGCGTCACCTTTTCGTATCAACTATAACCGACCTTTGTCACCAATAACGAGGTGAACAGGAAACTCAAAAACTCAAATCTCTTAAAACTCAAAAAGAGTACAATTTTTTCTCCAAAAAAAGTTTCCAAATTTTTCTCTGCGTTAATAGTAAAACGAGCATACTTTGGATTTGCACGGGTTGGGTGTTCTATCCATTATGTTACAAAGTGCAACAGGTGTACGAAGACGCTACTCAGTGGCTATATCGCAGCTTTGATTAACATGTAATGTGTACCCACTGCGTACCTATTTTTTGTTGTCCCGAGGCTGGCAGACCAATCACGAGAAAATGTGCTAAAAAATGTTCGCGTATGTGTGAATGTGTATATGTATGTGGTATGTATATGTATGTGGTAATATATATATATATATATATATATATATATATATATATATATATATATATATATATATATATATATATAAAAGGTTGTCCCTTCATATAGTAAAATAGGTATATATATATCTGACACGAGACCAAATATATGGAATAAATTAACTGGTTTATTAACTGTTATGGATATGTTTATTGTTGGTTATATGTTTGTATGTTTATTGTCATGCAAGAGTACTGTCCGTACATGAATTGTAATGGCAAGGCAAACCTCAATGTTGATTAATATACTTCTTGCATTAATCTTTTAATCTACTGTATATTGTGCAATGTGCTCAATGATTTGGCTCCATGATTAATGAAACTTATTATACCCATCTATTTATGCATGCATGTTTCAGAATACATGCATGCATGCATGGAAAAATTCAAGTGGTTCGGTATCAGGAGATATATTTTCTAAGATGAAACATATAGTCTTATAGCTACATATTTCGTCGAGACTAAACTATATATTACCATTCTTTCATGCAAGGGTTCATTTTCAGTTGTTGTTATGCTAATTGTGTGTTACACTTTACGATTACGCTATATACGCTGTGAGTTCATGTGACTGCGAGTAAACATATAGGCTAGAATTTATAGTAATCAGGCATTTTAACAAATACTTATATATATGTATGTGCATGTAGTTGTGCTGTGGGTTTATTAATATAACATTTATTTTACTCGTACAACCTTTACTATATAACTCAGTACGCTTTGTTTTGAGAACAAAAAGATGTAGGTGCTCGAAACCTTGTCTAAATATATGCCTCCCCATGCAGTATATATCCAACAAAAAATATTAGATGCCTAGAAATGTTCGATGAGTTTGATTCAGTGTGTGAAAGACAAAATGCTTACACGAGAGAATATAGTTCATATGTCGTCATACACGCATGAGAATATTTATTTATACTTGTTCATTCAAATGCAGGAAAGTGTAAGCTGATGTTTGGTTTTGCTAATGCACGCAAGAATTTTCATATAATATATCGAATTTCAGTCGAGTTTCAGTAAATAGATCGAGCTTTTCGCAAGGTTTACATGTAACATTAAAATTAATGTTGACGTGTTCCCAATCGTATGATGCTGCCGTCAATCTAAATATAATTCCTAACTGTGAAATTGTTAAACCAGGACTACAGGATTTATTGTAATTTTGTACACTCCTTGTTGTAAACAGACAAATATGAATTCGTAATCAATAATTATTCCACATATGTAGTCACGTGTCTGATATATATCGCTATTTTACTATAGGAAGGGACAACCTTTTTGACATGCACTATATATATATATATATATATATAATTATATATATATATATAATTATTATATATATATTATATATATATATATTATATATATATATATATACAAAATGTTTTTGAGACCTTGGGGAATATTTCCCGATACGGACCTCCGATTTGGTAAATATATATATATATATATTATATATATATATATAATATATAATATATATATTTATATATATATATATTATATATATATATATATATACACCCATTTGCAAAAACGTTGGCCGCAGATAGATAGATAGATAGATACTCGAAGTCTAATTAGAATTGCATATGATTACATTTGCATGGGATTTCAATCATATTACACAACATATGCAATTCTAATTAGATTTTGGGTATCTATCTATATATCTATCTGCGGCCAACGTTTTTGCAAATGGGTGTATATATATATATATTATATATATATATTATATATAATTATATATATATTATATATATATATTTATTATATATATATATATAATTATTATAATATATATATATATTTATATATATATATTATATAAATATATATATAATATATATATAATATTATATTATATATTATATATATATATAATAATATATATTAATATTATATATTATATATATTATATATATATATAAGTATAATCTTGTTGTTCGAAAAGACAAAAGAGTGCTCAATACTATAAGATGTTATAGTAGAGCGAATTAAGTAGATGAAATTAAGTCTTAAAATGAATTTATTTAGCTATCGCTACTCTGAGTTTCACGATTATCTCGATCTTCAGGCGATTAAATTCAGTTCGTTGGATTGCGTGATTAACGGTCGGCTCACGCGCACTGTTAATATATATATATATATTTACCAAATCGGAGGTCCGTATCGGGAAATATTCCCCAAGGTCTCAAAAACATTTTTTGAAACCGAGGGAAATATTTCCCTATACAGACCGACTACAAACTAGTAAATAATAGATTTATTTTTTTCTTGCGCTCCGAATTCATACTTTAGCGTTGGCTCTGTGCTTATAAATCTCGCACGGTCCGTACGGCCCCGTTCGCGTAGCCAATCAGATTTCAAGAAACGCTAAAATATTAATTCCGGACCGCATGAAAAAAACAAACTATATATATTAGAGTGTAAGTTATAGTCAAGTACGATTTACGACTAGTAAACAGCTGACGCTAATTCAGGGTTGTTAATGCCAAAGGAGCGTTAAATGTGTATGATGCGTGGCCAAAGTCGAGCCAATTCAGTGGTTAGGCCAAATAAATCATCGGTGATAGTCAGAACGGTTTTCGAACCGGATATATACTTGTCATCGACGGTGTAGAACGGTGTTATAGAGAATATGAGCTGCCCTGTAAACTAGTTTGGAATCGAAAAGTAGTAAAGTCAACATATTGTTGTGTGTATCATAACCAGATGTCATGCATGTAATCAAATTCAGAGCGTGCAGGTCTGCAGTGGTCTGCGACAAGGAAAACAGCTTGACTGCTTGCCGATGCAAATATGTCAGCTGCATGCATGTTTAATAGATAAGCGCCCATCGAGCAACTCCGTCGAGCAAAATACATTATTTCTTAAAAGAAAGAAATTACCTTATCCGATTTTGAGACTGAAATTCTGTTTACAATACTGTACAAAATTATGCAAAACGAAATCGAAAACAAGGGAAAACCGAAATATTCTAGAAAATAGGAACAATGCTAGGAAAACCAAAAAATTGTTGGACATATTTACATATTTACTTTCAAACTCAAGATATGATTATGTAAAACAATTGTTATGGCTAAACTGGCTTGGTACTATACCACGGCCACATGGCTGAGTGTCTTTCAATATGGCACAAAAATCATAAAAAGCAAACCACTTTACTGGCAAATGAGCATAAAATATCACTAAATAATTCATTTCACTTACATCGGTTATACATGCAATTACATAACTCCTCCATGTACTTTTATATTTGCCCACGTCCATATTCATGTTGCCACGCAAAACGTCGAATCGACGTTATCGTCTGTGAAAGATAACGTCGACCGTGGCAGTCATATTTTAATGTTTCGTATTCAACTAGCTCGTATTCACGCCATTATAGATATCAGTCACATTTATTTCACAACACTAATATTTGGAATAACAGTGTTTTTTTTTAAATGTTGTTTCTAGGCGGTTGTAGTAATTCATAACGACAACACTATATTTTGCAGCAGATCGATTACTTGTTTGGCTATAAATTTAGCTATAAAATTCGCAGCAAGGAATATTAGACTTACCCAAAAGTCAGATTTGGTAAATCCTTAGGTTTTGGACTTGGTGAACTTGCCATAATGTTATTTCGTTTAGTAGATATAAATTATATAGTCGAACAGTCAATATAGTCGAACATGCCAAGTAAGCGCCCACGAAAGGAAAACAAGACGCGGTATGCAGAGCGGAAATAGCGGGTGTCGTGTCAACCAATCCTCAACCACTCAACCTCGTACCCAGGGTCTTCGGTGTTCAAAGGGCGCGGGAGTGGGACCATTGAGCTATAATAGGGACTTTACGCAACGACGACGGGAAGCATGGACGACGGCGTTCATAACCGAAAGGGACTGGAACGAAAATTTTCCCGTCCAGTGTCACGTCGACACCACGTCCAAGTTACGCGTGTAGGACGACGGCGGGTTTTTTTTATAAAGCGCGGGAAAATCGATTTCATAAAAATACCAAAAAATACAAAGTAAACAGAAAAACAACCTGCGAGTGTAAGCAATTATACATTTTCACTATTCTTTTTACACTATTTTCACTATCTCGCAATGAATTCACTCAGAGACGTTCGAGATACTTTGCTTTTAGCTCATAGCGAAAATATAATAAATGACGAAGAGCTTGTGCTGTTATATGACTTGAATACTTCAAACAACATTGATTTGCCTTACTGGTCTTACAACAAGTTTGATCTAGATATGATGAGTGACGACGAATGCTGGTCGGAATCTAGATTTCTAAAAAACGACATATTTCATCTCGCACAAATTTTTCACATACCAGACCAAGTAAGATGCTACAACAGGATCGTTGTGGATGGGATTGAAGCTTTGTGTATTTTTCTTAAAGATTCGCCTACCCGTGCAGATATGCAGATATACTACCAAGGTTTGCAAGGCCCGTACCACAACTTTGCATGATTTCAAACGAGATAATGAATTTCATCTATCAAACCCAACATCATCGTTTACGAAGTTTTGATCAGCCGTGGCTGTCTCCGGCAAATCTTCAAAACTATGCTGATGTAATTCACACTAAGGAAGCCCCGCTTAATAACTGCTGGGGATTCATCGACGGTACAGTGAGAGCAGTTTCAAGACCAGGGAACAATCAACGTTCACTCTTCAACGGACATAAACGCGTCCACGCGATAAAGTTTCAATCGGTTGTTGCTCCGAACGGTCTAATTGCAAATTTATACGGCCCTGTCGTTGGAAAGAGACATGATAGTGGTATGTTGGCAGAGTCAGGTCTCCTTCATGATTTGCACAATTATTCTCATTCCCTCCATGGTCAACCATTGTGTGTGTACGGAGATCCAGCGTACCCTATAAGTGTGCATATGCAACGCCCATTTAAAGGTCCCCATTTGACACCTCTACAAAAGGAGTATAATGCCGCCATGAGTAGAGTAAGGGTATCAGTTGAGTGGGTGTTCGGCGATATTGCAAATTATTTTGCCTTCCTTGATTTTAAAAAGAACTTGAAAATTGGTTTAAGTGCTGTCGGGAAAATGTACTTGGTTTGTGCATTACTTACAAATGCACGGACATGCCTTTACAAGTCAGTAACAACCTCCTTTTTTCAATTGGACCCACCAGAATTAGAAGTTTACTTCCAATGAAAAACATGAAGAGTTTATTAAGTTTTGCCTAACTTTACAGGATAACTTCACAAGAACTAAAACTTTTCACATGCCTAATTAATGTGGGTAGAACAACTACAAGAGGATTGTAAAACTTAACTAATGTATAATTGGTTGTCCAGAAAGACCCATACATCCTAGCAATGAGATTTAAGGCATCCAGAGAGTCTGAATGTAATGTCAGAGAGCAACTATAGATACAGAAATTGAAGCCGGAAATAGCGTGCGGCCATCTCGGCCCATCTGTGACCACCTTGAGGAGTGAACTATAGGGAAAATGCGATATTTTCCAATGTTTTTGTCTTGTTATCGCGAGGCAGAGGACTAAATCAAATCAAACATACCATTTCAAACAAGAGCACATATTCAAGACATTGTCAAATTTTAAAAATGGAATTCGTGCTCACGCTTTCTAAATATCTGATTTCTAAATTTCTACTTCTAACTGTTCTGTAATTTTAAACTTAACTATTTGTGCATGTCCTGTATAGTTGGGATTTTTAAATAAAGTTTTACTACTACCACCACTACTACTACTACATTGGGGGCCTGTTTTACATTCAAATAAACTCAATCGTAAGCAAATATTTCAGTATTTTCAACGACGTTTTAGAGTGCGACAGAGATGAATACATGTAAAACAGTCGTAGACACCTTTCAGATGTGAATTTCTTAAACACATGGGCGAATTATACCATAATTTAACACATGGTTTGTGGAATTCGTCGAGGAAAAAGTCATGCATATACAAGAAATTTCGTAGGTAAAATGGTGGCAATTATGATTTTTAAAAAATTTATATAGAAAAGTGTTAAATTATGATTTTTCCTTTGAAATTTCTGCGCCAGAGGCCTGGATAATAACTACAAGAAAGGCTTCATGATCCGCCATCTTGGCTTCACTCATTAATGAGGAGAAGTCAGAGAGTGAGCGTTCCAATCTTATTTCAGTTCACTGGAGCAGCATGCCGCATGCGCAACGCTTGTTTGTTTCACGTGATGCTTATTTCAGAGGAGCCCGCGGGTGTTATTGCACACGTGCACGTCATTAAAAAATTCCATTTTTGGCCAAAAAGCGCGCTATATCTCGTTATTTTGTACGGCGAACTATGCTGAAATTTAGCATGCTGTATTGTATGTACTACACATGTCTCTCATAATACCAAAAATAAAAAAATTCTATAATGGTAAAAAAAATATCAAATTTCTCACTTGAGAAAGATATTAAAGTCGAAACGTTATAATTTTGTGATTGACTTATAAATGGCTTTTTGCCAGGTGATTGCCTTGGCTGGGATCGGTTGTATTGTGGTTGTATCACGGTTAATAGAATATACATGGTTAGAGACTACAAAAAAGCACAATAGAACTCATTAACTATGTTCAGGGAACATTTATACAAAAAAGTGTTCTTTATTCGTCACGTGTCTATTGTATTTTGAATAAATAAACCAATAGTAAGGTCTGAATTAACTTGTTCAAGTCACGGTTGAGGAGCTAAGCCAAGTCATTGCTATTGGTTAGTTGGGCAAAAATACAATAGACGTGTGACGGATAAGGAATCATTTTTTGCATAACCTGGACAATAAGTCAATAACATAGATAATGAGTTGTACTGTACTTCCATCTGTAGCCTCCAAACCATGTATATCGTAATAACTGTGGTTGCATCAAGCTCAAAATAGAAAGCCAGTCTCTCATTTTATTCAATACTGTTTACAATTACATATTCGGTGCCTAATATAAGAGAGATGTAACAGTGTTATTAAATTTTGACTTATCCACCGTTTAAGCTGAACGGCCTTGATAAAACCGGCCCCTGTACTGCTTTCGTGAATCGCGTCTGGGGTGTGTCGGCCTATAGTTTTCATGGGGGTGCCAGGCGGAAGTGCATGTGTGCGGGGAACCTCCTTTAGATTCGTTGGCAAAATTACCAGAATTGATCATGATAGTATTTAGACGAAATTACTAACAAAGTGGTCGAACCGGTCATATTTTTGTAATATTTGGAATTGAAAGAGTATTACGATAAGAATATAGCGGTTGCCATTGTATTTTTTGTGCTAGGTGGATGTAAGTAACAATATATTTAAATAGTGCAGAGTTCTTGAAACACTCTAAAATGCCAGCATGTCTGTACTGAAACCCATCAGGACTGGTCAGGCCATTATTACCGAAAAAAGGAAAGGGCCTAGGTGTGAGCGCAGTAGCATTGTCAAACGGTCTCAGTCTGTGTGACAATAGTTAAAAATGCTGTTTATTTATTAAATAAATTAAAAACAGGAAACGAGTGTGAATATAGTAAGATAGTTCATTTGAATGGTCATACAATGTATTTGCCGTCAAGAATCGTCTCTCTTTTTTTTTGCCTTAGAACAGGTTTTTCATGATTCGTTTAAAACATGCAGACAGTCATTGAAAGAAAAGATGACATGCCTGACAAATTAAATTCGAGTAACTTATTAAATACCGAGTTATGATTAGCGAAGAACATGGAAAAACAAAGAAACTATCTATTTACTGTCGCTAAAGGCAAACCATGTTGATAACTGAACAGCGCTATAAGAACGGTAAACGGCATTGGTAATTAAGAAGAAGCATGCTATTATACAAACATTGTATGGTAGAAAAACAGGCAATGCTCTTATTTGCTCTCATCAACATCGTTCGGGATTAACACATCATCTCATTGAGCTTGGAAATCCGAACCTCAATCTGATTTTTGAATAATAAAGGCCATGTTACACGGTGCAATTTTTCTGGCAACTTGATGTAAGTTAGATGTTAGATGTAAAAGATGTAAATTAGTGAAGAGTTTTCAAAATGTAAGTGCATGTAATCAAGAAACGCATGGGGTGTAATAAAGACAAAAGTTTGGTGGTTTTCATATTAACATCGCTCAAAACAAGAATTGCATTGCAAGTTGCAGGAAAAATTGCACCGTGTAACAGGGCCTTAAGTTATAATTAATTTATATCATAATTACTATAGTTAATGCGGTGAGTATTTCGTCTTGTATGAAGAATGATACAAAAAGTCAGACGATTATTTGTCTTCCCAGTATTGTTCAGAAAATCTTCATAATTCAAGGTCGTTCGCCAGCAGCCAGTCTGCGGTTGATATCTTCAATTACAGGTGGGAGTTCAGCAATAGTATCGATGACATAATGTGCGCCAGCGTTCGCCAAGGTTTCGTAGGATTTCGCAATCTTTAATTCGTATTCCTCGTCGCTCAATTGATCTATTTCCTTCTCATTTAATGCGACGTAGTTGCCCTAGAAAGAAAAATTTACAGATGTCGTGGCGGTATTATTCAGTTACATCAACTACAATAACAAATTTCTCATGCATGAAGGTGGGAAAATGGAGTCAGTGCGTTTTAGGTTTTCTGAGTTGGGAGAAGAGTTAATCAAGGCCATGGAAAATTCCATTTGGTAGAGTCCAAAAATACGGAATTAACTGCCCATAATTTGCCGGGTTTTTATCAAATTGCAGCTGTTTTTTTTTTAAATTTCAACAACGAATAGAAATTTTATCGTCAATACTTTACAATAATACATGTACACAGCATGGTGTTTCAGCTAAAAACTGTCTGAAGACATGGACATAGCTACATATCTGAAGACATGGACTTACATATTTATCACCAGTTATCATTCCACTGAGTTATATTAGAACTAACTGGTACTAACTGACCCATAACGTTATAAACACTTACTGTTCTCGCTAGACCAACCGCCCAGCAACCTGCTGATGTGCCTTCTCTTATCCCATCTTTCGTGTCATCAACTTTTACAATCGCCGATATTGGGTTTACATCCAATTGTATCGCGTTCATCCACACCATATACGGAAAGGGACGAGCCTGTGGCACTTGGTCAGCGGCGACATAGCAATCGGGCACGTATCCATTCTTAGCTGCGATTCGCTTGACCACATCCAGCATAGGCGTCGTGAATCCAGTGGTCGAGCCAATTTTCAACCCCCAGTCTTTTTGGAGTATGTCGACAGTTTCCACTGCGCCTGTAATCATCTCGCTGTATTCTTCCAACAACGACAATTGCAACGGAATTGATTTCTCGTACATTCGCTCAACATCTTCTTCGTTCGGGTTGCGACCAAATTTTTCCCTCCACCGTCTCCGTACGGTTTCCATTTGCGTGATTGTGCGCATATGCACTTTCTTATGCATCCCCATTGGCTCTCGGGCTTCCTCGTTCGTGATCGGGACGCCTTCGTGCTCGAAGATCTTTGTAAAGACAATCGCAGGAGAATATACGCCACAGTCCACGACAGTTCCAGCCCAATCAAGAACAACAGCTTTTATCCTGCCTTGATACACGCGCATATTTCGGTATTCCGTTCTGGGATTTGTTAGCAATGCACCTGTGTACAATTCGATAAATATTAACCATTAGAGACAATATGTAACACAATATTGGTTTGCCATGCTTCTGAATAGACTGAATTGATATATTCCAGTCTTTTCTTCAAACGACTCTCCTCGCATAGTGGGGCTCAGTTGTTCTTTGCTCGCATTGTTACACATTCAAATTTTATCATTTCCAAGAACCTAGGCTGAAGAACCTTTCACAACTAATTAAAATATTAGGTGAGGAATATCTAGTCGTGTTCCTTTCGGTGGTATTACCCTAGGCATCCCAGGAATACAATTTGTATTTTTTTATTCAATTCAAAACTCTTGCAAGCGCACGCGAGTCGCATTGCTATGACATAATGCCATAGCAATGCGACTCGTGTGCGCTTGCGAAAGTTTTAAATTGAATATAAAAATACAAATTGTATTCCTGGGATGCCTATGGTATTACGCACTTTATGGTTCCTTAGCGCAATTTACTATCAAAATAAATTTTTCTGGGCTCCCAAAATGACAAAAGAGGATTGATTATAGCTAGAATACCGGGTATAGGCAAAGTTTTGGGCAGTGCAATTTCGTTGACATTAAGTTTTACAGGATTTATTACAACCACCTAGTGCTCGATCTAGCCTGCTTTTAGACTTGCATATGACTTATGTAAACTAGACATATACAGTGGGGGTCAATAAATGATATCTTGTGAGTTGGAAATTGGATAATTATGTTGATCTGAACTTGCACATTTGATTTTCTGATAGTAATGGCTCCCATATGTTCTCGTTAATTCTCATGGTATTTAAGTTGTACAAGAAATGTGATTATTTTTTGTGGCAAAAGGGACTAAAGATGGCAAAAGGGGTTAGCAAAAGAGAGGCCAGGTTATAAAAATCAACAATGAATAATGAAGGGATGTCTCAGCGAAAAATTGAGGTGAAGTGATATGTGTTGAAGGAATTTAATGTTGGAAGTGTTTCGTGAATCTGGTTTGTATTCAATTAAATAAAGATCTGGAAGACTGAGAGGCAAAAGCTATACCATTTGCAAAGGAAGATGGGAAGAAAGTATATGGAAAACCAGTGGACCGCCTTAACCAATGTTGGAGTAGATTGAAGTGCTATCAAGTAACAAAACTGGTTCACTCTATGCCAAAAAGTCAAAGCTGTTTTGAAATGTAAAAGAGGTGATACAAAATATTAGAACAGCACTAATTTAATTGTATTGTGTGCATGACTGTATACACATGATTGTATACTGTCGTTATATCAATGTGACAAAAATCATAATGACTGGACTTAGAATTTTGACCCCCACTGTATGGACATAAAAGATATACATTATATTATACTGTCACATAGGCTGTCAAGTCTATAATAGTAATTATATATGTTGGTTTTATCTGGTTGTCTTAAATAGTGTGACAAATAATAGGGCCATTGTATATTATTGAGTCTTCCACAGGCAACTCTATTGGGAATATTTAATTAATAAAATTTTGACATAAGTTAGAATGTTTGGTTTAATTAGGTTGGTTTGGTAAGTGTTGGAAGTTAAACATAGAAATAAGACATATTTCTGAAGTGGTATTTAATTAAAACCATGTTTGCACAAGTAATTTTTACATGACTAGTTTTATTTGCAAAACATATTTGATTGTGTAAATAGGAAAGAAATATTGCTTATTTGCTAGATGACTTGACCCCTGGTCAAAAGTTCGGTTCTGCACCATTTAAATTTTTAGCAAGTGAAGGAAAAACACGTACGTACTGGCTGTCATCAGTGTCACATTCATAGAAGATAAGCTTTATTCTGGATGTTTTTCTGTATGTGTCTAATATGCCTAATTTTCATTATTGACATCAGCAAATAAAATTTGCCACATAAGATTCATATTAAATTGGCACATGTAAATTGTTTGTGTAAGTAGAGATTTACAATCCCAGTCATGTTGGTGGTGGTTTCATTCAATTCTTTGTTGTGGGACAACATGATTTCTGCCCTCTCAAAGACATTAAAGTCTCAACCAATGAACCACCAGAAAATGCACTTGATATTAGTAATAATACCATTTGGGACTTGGGAGATACTTAAATTGAGTAGGTGTAGTATGACCCATAGATCATAATAGTTTATTTGTAATTGAATAGTTTTGCTTTAATGAATAGATGTTTAAACTTTAAAAGCTTTGAGCTAGCCAAAAATACTGTCATGAACCCCCTACAATCACGAGAAAGTCATGTGAATACCTCATGACAAATGAGTACACATGAATTTCATGTGACCTGTAGCTAATATGCCAAATATAGGTGTAGTATTAAATAGTCCCTTCTATTTTAATTTAAAATTTCATCATTTTTAAATTAGTCTTTTTACCAGCTTCGTACCGTTTTGAATAGTTTTATTTCTGCGAACGTTTCATGTAAACACTGAGGGGAAAGCCATATTTTAAGCCAATGATTTAAATTGACATAGATTTTCACTTCCGTGACGATAACCACAAAATATTGACTCAAATAAGAGCGTATTCAATAACTGAAGGGAAGTTTTGTACGTAAAAACGTTTTACACACACTCATGGTTTATTACATTGCATATCCAAAGACCTTTGACTGTTTTTCGTGATGTTTTGGTTCCTCGCTTCAAACTACGTACAGTTTCCTGTCATAGCGTATTATCTATCAAAGGAAGCTGGTATTTGCCTATTTTCAAACGAACAAGCTTTAAAAATTGATGTGTTGGCGTATGATCGACCGTAAATAAATGCGTATCTCCGACGTAGAGTTTACATGAGAGCCAAAGGAGCGGCTAAAGACAGAATAGTATAAAAACGTGCGTTCGGCATCAGAACGGCATGCCGATATTGCTATATGATTTCATATGACAGATTTCATTCAACGACACGAAATCTAATAAAACCTGGACGACGTAAAACAAGTGTAAATAAAAAGTGTATACATATCCAAATAAACTTACCGGGGATGCTTTCAAAAGCTTTTGCCGTTTTATGTGCGGGTTTTACCCCTTCACTCTGGTTGCCGAGATTTCTTTGAATCAAAATTTGACATGTGGCTCTTGATCCTAACGTCCCAGTGAACTTTGGCAAGAAAGATCTCGAGCAACGAAACATCTCAGCTTCACAAAAAAGAAATACGAATTTCTTGAATGAAAAGTTCGAAAGATTTGTTTTGTCTCTTCTCAAGTAACTTTATTCTACCGGGTAGTCCAAAGACTTGGCCAAATGAAACGACTTTACAAATCGAACGATTGAATCCAAACGATGACGGTTACGGTGCGGTGAACTATAAGCCTGGAACGAAGGCCTATGATTGGGTGAAGCCATGGATAGAAAAGGGCGGGAAAGCTCTAGCAGAAATCATACAGTGAAGAAGGACTAAAGGAGAGTATTGAGGGGAAATTTTCGAACTTTCCAGTTGAAATTATGTTTTTAGGTAAAGAATTACCAAAATAGTACTCTCATTGAAACATTTTTAAATTTGTAGGATGTCACTTCCATTTTCACGGATTGTTCTGACATAAAAAATCGACGTAACAGGCTGGTACCAGCCAGTTCTGTAGACAAATTAATGGAAAATGTTTTTCTTTTGCCATTTCACCTCGAAAATAGTAATATACCTCAACTGCCGTTAAATGAGGAAGGTTTTTTCTTGAAGGAGTTTAATTTTTCCTCTCCTGGATCACGGCCCTCTATTTGGTTTCAAAGACGGCCACCAAGTTATCGTTCCAGTTCAATGAACTGTAAAACATCGACAATGTGCGATATTCGTAAAACGCCACGGCATGAAAAATTATTGGGGTGTCCCCATGACATGTAGTTGCTACTTGCACAAGTCACCACAGCTTAACTACAACCCACATGCTATAGTTGGTGAATGGTTGGAACTTGCACCAGCCCTATACTGGCTACAGCGTATGGTTGGAACTTGCCCAAGTCTCTACAATGTATAGCTTTTACTTGCACAAGTTCACACAACGCTTATGTTAGAAATTGTTCAAGTCCCCACAAGGTATAGTCTACTTGCCTAAGTTCCAACAGCGTATAGTTAGAACTAACCTGCATAAGTTCTCACAACATGTAAAAGTTATCCTCACAATCATTTTTGAAAATTTTCGAGATTATGCGAAGGAAATAAATGAGGCGAGAATAATATTGTTTACTTTAACAGTTCTATTTTACTGTATCGGTTGCTTTACTTGTGAGCATTTTGTATGGCTTTATATACCGATAGCTTTATATATTAATTTCTCTTTTATATTTTTAGTCATACAATTATTACGTCATCACTTTGCCCTCCGCCCAATTTCCCAGACCTAGCGACGCCCCTGACTATCAACGTCTCGACAATGTATATAGCTATATGTATAGTTTGGAAATGCAAAAGTCATCGCAACATGTATATAGTTCGTACTTGCACAAGTCTCAACGGCCAACGTATAGTTTGTATGACGTATTCATATATACATCGGTCACCACAACGCACATTTTACACATCGTATAGGTACTTCCACAAGTCTCCACGAGAAAAATTTCTACATGCACAGTCCCCATACTGTTCGTATTGTACAAGTCTTCAGAAATACTTTTCTTTGAATCATAAGTTGTCAAAAAGTAGCCAGAAATATTTGTCAAATAATTAAATTTTTATTCCCATGAATAATATTTGCAACTGAAAAAAAATGTACAAACTAAAGCGCTATCGAATACTAAGCACACCAGTGAAGCACACTTTTCGGGAGTAAGCTTGGTTACATTTTAGCCAATATGATATTATTATTCAAAAGATTAATCTTCCCTCGTTCTCTGAGCATATCCTTTCGCGACTTCTAATGTCTAAAGTCTCTTGTGGAAATAACCACAATAAATATTACATTCTAGTGCCAGAGCCCATTCTGTCGAGAATTTTTTTTTCTAGAATATTTCCTCTCGTAGAGAAGATTTTCCTCTCGCGATTAAAGTTGTTTACATGCAAGAAAACCTAGTCCATGATTATTTCTACATTTCTACATTCTTTCCTGACTGTGGACGTGAAAAACTATATACCAATGCAACAATGGTAAACTCCTAGAATTTAAAATTTAGGGGTGCACTTCCCTCTTGTTCTGTTTATCCCCGCTTTGGACTAGTAAGTGTTGTTAGACCCTCTATGTCGTGAGCGGTGAAACTCTTCGCTAATTTTGTCCTGATATTCGACAATTCGTATCTCAAATTAATGCATGCAGTTCTCGTGCATGTTCTTTCCTAGGCCATCATCTAGAATTGCGGTTCAAATTTAATAATAATGCGTCCGTGTCACGTTATTACACAACTGTATCGCTGTCTGTAAACGATACTCTGGTCTTATTCACAGATGTTCGGACTGCTAGCCTGTTTGGAAATCCTTTCGAAATTTTCAATCCCGTCTCTTCTGTTGCTGCTCCTTCGTTTGTCGCACCGTCCACGAAAACCTGTTAATATTATAATAGATGAGTTAATTTCAAAAATTTTGGCACTAGTTTTTTGTTCGCACTAAACTAAACCTTTTAGTATATAGTTTTCGTCTTCAGACGGATGCAAAAGAGTGAATAGTCACGAATGCTTAGAAGCTTCTTGAACATCTTACCACAACAACCAATTACCACTCGATATTATGTATTGTAAGAAGAAACTCGCACGTATAAATTTAGAAAATTCGACCCGTTGTGAAATAGTCTTTTGTCGCAACACACGAAATGCACTAAGCATGCGCTACGCTCAAACTACATCACTCAACACAGAGTTCAAAATAGAAATCAAAGAAAACCTGGAATATCATTATGTCAACTTAAATAAAGAGCTAGAGTAGAATTAACGAAGGAGGCACAAGAAACAATTTGTAATGACGTCGGAGCACTATTGCACACGATTAGATATATTTTTGACTGTATATTACGTTCTGTCATCAAAACGCAATTCACAATAAAAAATAAGAAAAAAAAATATTTCTGAAAAGTAGTAACTAGCTGGTACCACAGATCCACATGCAATATCAACTGGAAGTGTTTCCTTTCGGTAATTTCGGTGAAAATACAAATTATATTAAATTGAAATACTGAAATCTGTTCGAGCAGATGAAACAGACCCTTTTGTTAGTCACGCGTCAAAACATATCGTTTTGAAATTGAATACTATACCTTAAATGAGATTGATTTCAAGTTTTACTCTCACGGGCTCATGCATACATGCAAAGATTCTCACAAATAAGTATGGAAATAATCCATAAGTCGAAAACGAGGCTCCCGGTCATGGCCTGTTACGGCTTATTTCCACATTTATTTGTAAGAATTAAAAATTCTTTTTCATGCATGTGTTAAAGAACGATGTTTTGTATCTTTGCACGTGGCTCGTGAGAGTAAATTTATAACGATAATGCTGTGACCTAATTATGGAAAGAGTCTATACCGATGACCCATAATTACCTCGTCGTTTACTTCGGTGGGTTCTCGTGTGATGATCTCGGAGCGTTCGTTCTTTGTCGGCGTCACGGAGCCGCACGAGGGTCGATGAACCGAACTGTACGAATTTCTATACGAACTTCGGTTGTTTAAGGAACGCTGACTGTTTGTTGACACACGTCTGGAACCTAGATACCAGGCCTCGTAGCTGGTGCACTGGTATTCTTTTCGAAGACAAACCGAAACGAGACGACGGAATATGACGCGATACGACGGATTAAACATCGTATAAAGGATAGGATTTAAGGCAGAATTCAGGTAGTGTAGCCATTTTGTGATTGCTGGAATAGCGGGTCTGGCGTATAACCAAGGAAGACACGTCTGTAAAAGAATATAAAATTATTACAATCCTGAAAACGATATACCGCCCATTTTCGTTCTCAGGATGGTCTGGGAAAACCTGGGAACGAGGATGTACACCCGCCATTCATATGCTTTGTAACTGCATGTGCATAGCGCGCTGTATGTGAAACACACTTACCAGGCAGTACGTATAAAGGAACGAGAAGACAAAAAACGGCATCCAACACATGACGAATACAACCATGACAACCGACAGGCTCTTTGCGGTCTTGTACTCGTTAACTATGCAGCCAAAATAGTTTTTATTGGCATCAGGGTTCTGTGACCAACGCTTGCGACATGACCTAGCGGAGAAGCAAAAATTTTTAAATTTGAATAAAAAGCATACATGCCTAAAAATCTGCAGACCGTAAGGCCTGTTTTTCACACGTTTGTATGAGTTTTTATCTTGTTTTAGTTTATCTTGTTTTCTTTTGGAAAAAAACTTACAGGCGGAAAATGGAGTATTAAAATACAGTGTTGTTCGCATTATAAAAAGATGATAAGGCCTCAAAATACATTGTTGAAGTAAACATTGTTGAAGTTTACCGGTAATTCACTATTTCTCATTAGTGCTCCATTATAGACGGCACTAATGATGTGTTGATGTCTAGATCTATGGATTTAGGTGATATTTTCTTTCAAACCAACCGGATGAGAGCATATGAACCATCATCATCAAATGAAAACTATGAAATTGCCCGCCGATTATTCGAAGGTAAAGTTATGACAAATTATGTTTTTAACATTTTTACCGGGCGTGTTTTGCCATTCGCCATTTTTTTTTACTCTCGTGTCTATAGAGATGTACCTGCGCGCATTCCCGATTCCACGTCTATTGTTTCTATGTACCTAAAAATACTATTCACATGAGTATGTTTGAAATGTACCTTACAACGATGATGATTTTGAAGTAGCACACGACCATGATGGTAAGAGGAACAATGAAACCAAAAGTAGAAATAATGGCCGTCTTCCATTTGGTTTCCAATAAATAGACCGAGGCAACCGCTATAGCGTAGCCCCATACAGCAAATATAAGGCGATGAGCAATAGATGGGGTCACTGTTGAGTGATGTTTGAACGGGTTACTCACAGAATACAACCGGTCAATGCTTATAACAGCCAAATTCGCGATGGATGATGCCTCGCAAGCTATACGTCATAACAAAAAGTTAGCTTCATTATTTAGCGTCATTAAATAATTAAATGGTATCCAATAGTAGTAATGCAGGGCAATAAAACGTGACCAAGCACAGCACAGCACAGCACAGCAAATCACAGCACAGCACCGAACAGCACAGCACAGCACAGCACAGCACAGCACAGCACAGCACAGCACAGCACAGCACAGCACAGCACAGCACAGCGCAGCGCAGCGCAGCGCAGCGCAGCGCAGCGCAGCGCAGCGCAGCGCAGCGCAGCGCAGCGCAGCGCAGCGCAGCGCAGCGCAACGCAGCGCAGCGCAGCGCAGCGCAGCGCAGCGCAGCGCAGCGCAGCGCAGCGCAGCGCAGCGCAGTGCAGTGCAGTGCAGTGCAGTACAGTGCAGTATAATACAGCACAGTTCAGGGCAATACAATACAGTACAATACAGGGTAATACAATACAGCACAGTAGAGGGAAGAAGGAAATACCTCACAGCACAGCACAGTACAGTACAGCTAATTTGAGTACTTACTTATATCAACAAAGGTCCACATTCGCTCCAGAGTCACAGTATCTATCCACTGATGTATACTATGCCAACGATCGATCTCATAAGCGATCCAGAAGGGCATCGTGATTAGGGCAACAATTAGATCGCTTATTGCCAAGTTTATAAGAAAATGATTTGTGACTATCTTTCGAACTCGTTTGAAAACTCGGAATATCACGATAATCCCAGTGTTTCCGACTATTGTTAATGTTATTACGAAGCACATGGCGACAACAGAACCGATTGTTCCTTCCTGTGAATGCGCCTGTTGACCAGTGCGTGCAGGGATCGTTGCTGATTGGTTCGCCGGTGTTGACGTCATCGTGAAAATTATGAGTCTGGTAAGAAAATGGAGTCAGTTTTGTAACGGGGCTATCCACACTACTTCAAATATTCAAGGCTGCTTTTGGACTGAGTTTCTTTCCTTCCAACCCACATAAATTTCTAGTAACCTCTCTTATCACTGGTACATTCGAAGGGGGATCGTATGTTTTTGTCTTTTAAGTTAAGCATTGTTTCTCGTAAATAGTGCTTCTGCTCTGTCTGTGATAAGGTTTACTAAATTTCACGCAGAATGCTGATCTCAAGAAAACTGATGCGTAAAAAAGGTTATGTAGAAGAACAGGTTAAAGTTCAAGAAGTTGCATGACGGATGGATGACGATTAGATTTCTAAGATTTTGATTGTCTGTGAAAAAAATTTCAAAACGTCGAATCAGTCGGAATACTATATCTATATGTCTTCGTTAATCTGATAAATGACGAAAGTTGATGGTCTAGTTTCCATTGCCTGTATGTTTCTAATTAATCATCTACGAAGAAAGGATGTTATCTCAACAAAACATTTATGAATTAAAAACGCACAGAGTAGACAGCATTTAACCATGTGTCAACAGGTCTGTCTTCTATTCAGTATCCGACCTTCCTAGAAATTTTTAGAAATTAACCTACTGCTGTTGAGAACGATTTCTATACAGTCGCGTTTTTATAGTACATTTAAGAATACTTGCGTAATACTTTTCCCCTTAAAATCATTTAGCTGTTCTCAAAACTACAGTAAAATCACTCAGAGAACATATTGCTATGCGCATCTCCTCATTTTGTGTTACTACAATTAATCATTTTAGTGGATATAAACCTTCTGACTGACAAAGGTGGAAAAAACGCGACAGCTGTATCTATATTCGAATTCAGCCCTTACGCCGAAGGTTGTATTTTCCTCTGTAATTATAAAAATTCATTTCACTGATAATGTGATTGGTGTTTACAAAATATGAAACCTTCTATTCGATTCTGAATAGCACACACTGAGTTTTCAATTTATAAAAACAAAACTCAACATATATAATATTAGAGGCTGCTTTTTTATTTTATTTCTTGAAAGATTGCAACAGGATCACGTAGCCACTCTTTTAGACAGTTTTAGTCCCGTTATGAAAATTTCTTTCTCTATCCATTTCTTTGAAAATCTATATTGTTTTCACGACACAGGTTATATTAACACGAAAATATCAGCATTGCGGGTAAAAGTCTCCAGGGAGGCTACTCTGCTGAGGATGCATCGAAGAACTCGCAAACAATATATGAATATTAGATTTCAAAAATCAAAATTGTTCAAATTTTACTGACAATACGCCCTGTATACATAGACTCACAAGATAATCTCTGAATTTCCCATACTGAAAATCAACTTTGTTTTCAATGTACAAGGGACAGATTGACTATTTAAAATTCCCATAAAATATATTTATGTGGGCATGGAGGTTTTAATAATAAATTAAAAGAAATAATTTGAAAGTTCAAACCAGGAAAATGGGTGAAAGAGTTATAATTAACATAGACATGCAGCCGTAGCTGGAACGATGCGATAATTGGAGGGTTGTTTATTCATATACCGATCATATAAATATTCAGTTCTGCCCGAAGGATTTCTTTTGGAAATGCAATTATAACTTACACAATAGACACCCCCCAATTATCGTTCTAATTATGTCCCTGTTAAAGACAGTCTAGATTTTAGTGGAAACATTGTGAATTTTCTTCTGGTAAAGCTATTATATAGCTGTAAAACGGCATTAACACTTAACCTTCAGAAACTTTGTTTTGTTCTACGCTTCGGCAAATGATACGAATGGAAAGTTTTCGGTCCGTTAACTTGTGAAATTCTGATTTATACGCCGTCAATGGTTCCTTCAAATTAATAATTATATATTGACTTATTGTTGTTCTATAGTAATCGACGATTGACAAATATTGTTAGACGAACTTGCTAGACGAACCAGTGCCCCTTGCAGAAAGGTGACAGAAGGAGTTATTATTATAACGCTTTACTGACGATATGTTGCTTTTAAAATGAGATTTTGTTGTAAACGCGATAGGAGATAGGAATGTGGCCATGGTTTTCGCATTTATGCTTTCGTGTGCAGATGCATGTATAGGTCAACAAATAAAACCGAAATAACATACAAGTATATTTGTATGATAGACAACCTGGGTTGATTTGTCTTTGACAATACTCGATACGATTTTGATCGTATTCATGTGCGTTTGTAGGTATCGCAACATTGCTTTGTGAAACAAGCATGTAATTCTTATCGATTATTAACACACAACTCAGTGAATAATCGGCGTTCGTTTTCGTTGAGTTGTGCTTGTTAACTAATATTTCAACCTTACCCAAAGCGTAGCAGTTTTCTTTGTTTGTGATCGGTTTGAAATGATGACTTTGCCGATGAAATAATTACTTGCCATAAAATTTGATTCAATCGTGATTATGCAAACCCTGGTTCCATATTCGCTTGTTGTGGTTCAAGAGAGTCCCGCTGCATTCAAATTCCAACAATAAATTAGTTTTCAACAGTCTTCAGGTTTTTATGGGACACCCTGTAGAGTAAGACTGGTTTCCATATATCAGCGACATCTTAAAACAGACGCCGACATATTGTTGACAATTACGGGGGAAAAATAACTTCAGATACACAAAAGATTTGAGTAGTCATTAGGCTGCTTTTTAAAGTCGCAAATAGATGTAATTATCATGTCGTAATACGTTGTTGTAACACGTTGTTATGCGCAATCCGAGATGTGAAAACCTATAGAATGCTGCAAATATGCTGCAAATGATCTAATTGCTGCAAATGGATTACGACGATATACGAGGAACTTTATCCAAGGAAAGCCTGCCATTAGTAATCTCCCAGACTGCATGTCAGTGCATATTGGATCTCCCAGACTGCATGTCATTGCCATACTGATATATATATTTTGTATGTCCATATTATATAATTTTGTGGAATATAAACCACAAATAGTATAGTTAAGTCTTAGTTAAGCCTGATTCCCATAGAAAACATCTCATATTATTACTGTATAAATTACCTCCAATTCAATTCATCATACTTTTCGAATGAAACCTTTTTCTGTGTGATACATGCATGCATAATATTAACAGACATACTGGACTATAAAATGATAAAACTAAGTAATTGCCTACCAGCGACCTTTGGGTGCATTCATATCATTTTTATTAAAAAATGGTTAATAAATTTGCCTCAAATATCTGGACTAGACTGGGTGTCAGTATATATAAGTGTTGATTTTTGTAAACTAAGGTGTGAACGTCAAGCCTGTTTCCAATGGCTGAATTTATTCGCTCGCATTGATAAAAAGAAGAAAGCGTTCTTACTTTTTCGCATACCAATCACGTCACCTGATTTCAGATTCCGCTTTGCGTCGCGCGAATAAATTCACCTGGTGGAAATGGGCTTTGCTTTACTACTTACGAGGTCAATCAACTTGCTCTATAACAAAATTCGCCTCTGCAAACAAATGAAGATATTATTGCACTTTTTGTCCTTGCCGGCGATATGCCGAAGATATTGCCGTGTTCGACAGGTAAACCTTTCTGACAATAATTAATTTATAAAAATAACCTAAACAAAACTATACAAACAGTTGATAGGCAAGAAAAACAAGATTTATACACCCATACAAATAGATCGACAGTAATTTGTTACCGTAAATGGTGTTTGGGCTAATGAGTATGAATACAAATATGTTCTAAAAGAAAATTTAATTTGTCTTTAGCCTATGATGTTTCGTTCTGCAAATTTTTGTACTTCAAATATTGCGACATAACAGATGAAAATCACACGTCGTGTAATTAACGAACACACGCAGGTGTTTATTTTCCAACTATATCGGGGATACATTGTGTTGTGAGACTGCTTTTCACACGTTTTTTAAACGCGTGTATACGGAGTACGTATATATGCCTATTAGGTTGAAATGACATGCAGAATTTAGTTTCCTGTATGATTTTTTTACATGTGCATTGACATAAGTTGAGGTTTTCAAAAGGACCAATAAAGTTTCCGTTGTAAGATTTCACTGATGCTTGGATTCACGCCCATCGCGTCAAGGCCGAACCTAGACACTTAGTTGGGGTGTGTTTATCCAGTGTGCTATATTTATACCATTTTCATTTTCAAATTCTGTGAAAACAATCGTTTTCAAAGCAAACCAACGAGCAGAAGACGAATAAATGAATATACACACACCACAATTATCGCGTCTAGGTTCGGCCCTGACGCCCACGTGCTTTGATGGAAATCGGGCCAAAATTAGTAAAAGTTGAATAAAATAGCATGATAGGTATCTAGCACGTGAACTTTTCGATATACATGCGAGTATAACGTTTGGATGTCCTAATAACGTTGCAATCGAAATATTTTTTCTTATTTTAAGCCGAACATTGAGCTCTATTTCAATGAGCTACATGCTTCAAATGCATGAAGTATGAAAAAACGAGACAGGATAAGCCTTTTCAAGAAAACTCCTGAATATGATTGTCTCGGTCTATTATATACTAGAATTGCTGAAGTTCGCGCACCTGCGGTTCATAATTGGAAATATGTCATAAGCCGGGAGGAGGCGCTTATATAGATCCAACAAAGACTGATTTTGAGTAGACTGACTTCGGTAGACATACGGAAATTCGATACACTGAATGAATTTTTATATTCATCTTTTTTATCGTCATTTGCAGAAGCAGGTTCGAAAATGCAACATTACAGATCTAATTACGACTTAATTACGCCACCGGTAGCGTTGCCGGCTACTGTAAATAATATATTCACAAACTGAAGAGAGACATTGCTGTGTACGCTTTATCTTAAGAGGCAAACGAACATTTTTAGGTCCTTTCAAAACGCCCAAAACAGTTGATCACGACAGTCTGATCAGTGAAACCCACACCCAGACTGAAATTTGATGCTGAAAAATAGTATATCTTATTCTGAAAGGAAATGTCGTACCACTTTTAAATCCAATAAATTCGC